AAAGCATCGACCAGTCTGTTTCTAATATTTATGATATGTAAGCTGCTAGTGACATGACCTCTGCCCTTGGTGCAGGGAGGTGGCACGTATGTTCTGCTGGCTTCTCCACTTTGGACAAGGGAGGATAAAGGCTTTGTTTAAAAATAAATACATCACTTTCAGGTTTGTCAGTGTTACTGTACATTTTTCTCTCTGCCAGTCTGTGTTTACAGGCATAGGAAAGCAAAAATAAATGTATGAGGAAGAGAAAGGTCAGAATATCAAGTGTCAAAAGTAGCCCATGAAATTTTATTGGTGGTGCATTTAATCAGTGCTAAGCGTTTTTTACAAGGTACATACAAACAGTGGAATTGTAAAAATTTATGGAATGCTGTGTACAGTGTAGTCATTTATGAAGAAAGGAAAATTTATATCCAGTTGAAATAAACCAAAGGGGAATGTTTTATGATGACTTCTCAACAGCAGGATACATCAAATGAGATCTGGATAAGATGAGAATGGGGTATTTGCAGGGGCTTTTTTGAGGTTTTTTCCTGCTTCTTCAGCAGCTAACACTTTGCATCTTTCTGTGCCTCTCAAATAGGCAGGATGCTGGGACAGCATGGTGTTTGTGTTTTTCTGTACAGTAGAAAGGAAACACAAGTGAGCAGCTGCTACTGGTATCTGTGGTACAAGGCTCTTGCTCTTGGGCTGGTTCCAGTACAASAGTTTCTTGAGCAGCCCTTAATATCCAGCTGGGAAGGGTTAACCGAAGCCAATCACTCTGACATCAGCATTTTTTTTGTTTCCTTTTTGGTCCAGTATTTTGTTGATGATAAAGCACAGACTTAGTCAATTGAGAGATTCCAGAGCTGCAGAATCAGAGATAATTTAATTAACGGAATTGCTTGTGATTGCCCACTGGGACAGCGGGTAGGAATTGCTCGATTTAATTTGGAGAAACAAAGATCACATGCATGCTAATGTTTAACAAATAACCAGTGTTTGGGTTAAAGTWTTTTAGCGAAGAGGGGGGCAACCATTTCCCAGGGGAGATTTCCCTGGACGTGATTGCTGCCTAACGCCTCAAAGCTACAGATAGGTCCTTTTTCCTCTTCCATAGTATTTCTGTGCACTTCTTCTGGCCTTTCACCTGAACAAAGCAAGAATTTTCTCAGAGAAAGAAAGTGTTCTTATTTTCAGTGCTCTGGGGAAAATGCTGTGAATAGTAGAAAACTATGCATTGGGCACAAAGAGTGAAAATTACCACMTGCTGTCTGCCCACTCTCACAGACGTGCTCCTTGATACCCAGCATCCCCAGCTGTGACTGCCAAGGTGTAGAAAACTTAAGGACAAAGTCCAGAGAGAAGTACAGGACCCAGCTGCTTCCATAGGAGCACTCCCTTCCTGTTTTTACTGTTGTATAAACGTTCTCTCTCAGGCTCCCCTGTTTGTGGTGGTGTGACTGTGAATCTCTACTCCAGAGTGGAAATACTCTCTTGGTGCATCCTCAGCCAGGGAGGATAATTCAGGTATCAGTGAGGCCTCTCACACCTGCTGGAGAAGCGCCAGCACTGGGGCTCAAGGTATTGCTCTTGGCAGCAGTTGTGCTCAGCAGGTCTCTCTGGAGGCTGATAAATGACGTTATCCAAACACGTCAAATCAGAGCGCTGAGGCGCAAAATTGTTAAGAGTCCTCCTGCATCCAGCATGAGGTCAAGGCAAAGCAGAGAGMCAATTCCTTCTCTGTAATTCCCTCTGCCTCACTTGGCAGGGTAACTTGTACACAGCCTTCCCCTGTCCGTGGCGTTTGGCTTTCTGACCCTCACTCCACCCTGGCRTTAACCTGTAAAAATCTTGCCCAAGGCTGCTCCCAGCTGTGTCCAGGCAAGCGCACATGAGGTGTACAACAAGAGGGAATCCTGAGGGAGTTCCCAAGATTGCTGCTGCAGGAAGAGTTGCTCCTAAGCGATGCTTATCTTTAGGATACAAGCAGCAGGTTGACGGTAAAATGTCACTAAATGGAATGGCATGTGTCCCAAGTGTGCTGGCCACCACGGGAGCCAGACACATGGGAAGTGACTCTCGTCTTTATTCCATCCCTGGAGGTAGTTTCAGTTTCCTTTATTTACTAATGTTCTCCCTATTTCCCTTGACCTCATTTCCTCTGGCTTTTCGGAAGCAAACCATGCAATTATCGCTCACTTTGGGTTGACCCTTGGCCGCCACGTCCCTTGTTGCTGCTGCTCCGTGAGATTTTCCTGAAATCTCAAGTGCAAAATATTTGCTTACAGCCAAAGCTCCTACCTCTCATGTGAAGTAGGAGCTCTGTCTTCTGCACTGTGCTGTGTGTCAGGATTTGTCCTGTGAGCTTGCTTGGCAGGGAGAACATGGAGTTTAGATTCCGTCATAGCTGAGCTTTGATCAGTGCTGGGAGATATTGCAATAGCTAAAGCTCCCTCTTACCAATGCACCCCAGTCTTGTTAATAAATGTATATTTAACAATGTCTGGAGCGTATGAAGTGATAATAACTAAATCAATACCTCCCACATTGATTGTCCAGGATCCCTACAGCGTGACGCACGCAGCGGTGCGGTAATTTTCCAGCTAACTAGCACCCTGATCTACAGCCCTCCTATTGATTGGCCATTGTATCAGGCAGCCTCTGAGCATTATTGCTTATGCCTCTATTCAGCCTCCTTTTCTGATTCATTCGTTTATTACCAGACAGGTGCGATTATCTCAGAGATTTTCCGAAATTGGCCAATGGGGSTCAGCTGTTTAGATTTCTATAAACAAACCATTTTCTGTCTCCTCTGGTTGTTGCAGTGGCAAACTTTTCCTTTCCAAGTTTTGACTGTTACTGGTCTGGGACTGGGGATAAATGGGCATTTGCTTGTATCTGCTCAAGGAATCAACTTTTCTCTTTCCTTGCTGATTTGCCCACCCGCCTGAGGAAGATAGATAGCTCCACACATGGTAAAAGGAGAATTTAGCAAGGGTTGAGGTTCTGCTAGCCACCTGCTTTGGGCAGGAGTGAGACTCACTGCCTTTATTCATCCACTGCTCTTGTGCATGCAGGAAGGAGAAATGGATTCCCTGAAGTCAAATTCAACTGCAGCCTTCACCCAGCATCAGTTCAATGGTGGGCCAGACTGGAAGAGAAATAATTTCTCAGCCAACAATAATCTTCAAGCTATAAATAAATAAATCTGTTTCTTCCTTGGACAAAACTAACACCTTTCTAGACTTTCTTTGAAAATGCTAGCAACTCTTCCTTGAGGGTGAGAACTCAAGCTGGGATATGGTAATAATTTATACCAACAAGCAGAAGCAAGTGGGTGTTTTCACAGCAGGGAGGACTGTCTCCTACTGAAACTCTTTCATCTTGTTCCAAAGAATATTTATTGATTCCAAGACTTGAATCCACAGTGTCCCTGTCCCCAGACAGTCTTCACCCACTGGGCTATCATGGGACATTGGTATTTCTTTGCCTTTTTTGCAGTTTTAAAATTGTTACCATTTCCTAGCAGCTGTCACTTGCAATGAATCTCCTTCTGATGAAGAACTCAGCTCATGCAGAGCGTGTTTCATCTGTACAAAGGCAGGAGTAAAGTTGAAGGAGCTTTATAACACTGGGACTTCACCATATGCATTCCARCAGCTCCACTTTCTTCTGAATTATCATAATTAGAGAAATCACTCAAGATCTCTTTGACTTGCTCTGWTACCAAAGCCTTGGTAAAAGCCAGCAGAATCAGCTGATGGGAGATACCCCAGGTCCYTCCCTGCATGCCAGCGACAAGTGACTAATGAACAAAGGAGTGAGTGCCTGCCTGCAGCGAGAGTGCTGAGATTGCAGCTCACTGTACTGGTTGTAGTAATTCAGCTAGACCTGGGTCTTAGCCACCTGTTGATGAATCATCCTCTAAAAAGGTAGAAGACGTAGGTGCCACTGTGAGTTATCTTGTGATTGATGATGCAGCTTCTGGTGTTGAGATACTCTTCRGGTTCTTCTGAGCTGGTCTCTGCTTAGATAGGCTGGAAATTAMCTGACATATGTGAAAATTGTTAGTTTGTTTTGTTTTTATTCAAGCGAGTGAGAGCTTTAGTGTCAATGCTCTARACCTTTTCTGGGGAATACTTGAGGGCCCTGCCCTGTGCCTATGCTGTGTAGAAATAGGATTTTGCAGCTTGCTGGAGTGACACATCCTTGTCTTTAATGCTCTCTGCATCTCATCTGCTAAACATTGCTGTCTGCCCTTGCTTTTAGGTTGGCAAGTTGCTCTTTCCACCAGCCTTGCAGAACYATGAAAATACACTTGCCTGCCCTCAGCACAGCGCCTCTGTGACAAAAGAGATAATGCTGCCCATCAAAAATGACCCTAGGAAATGGGAAAGCTGAGATTGTAAAGCTGCCTTTATAGCCACCCTGTTGGCCCTGTGTCCAGTGCTTTTGGTTTYTCCATTTTTTTCAGTATGAGAATAAAAAAGCTGGGGCTTTCGGTAATATAAGCCATTGTGTTGATCCTGTGTAATGAGCTGATTTTGCATTTCACGAGGCTCATGGCCAGCAAAGGCCTCCATTCTCTAAGGGAAAGAACAGCTCCTATTGCCCATAAAAAGTTATCTCAGCWGCTTTAAAGCAACGTACAGAACTTTGTCTCAAACATGTGGTCCTAAGTAATCTCTTAAGGGAGACAAGAAAAAAGGCAGAAAACAAACAAAAAAATCCCAACAAAAATATGTATTCTTTAAATGTCTATGTCTTGCTCTGTATGAAGCTGGCAACCCCAGCATTGGTTGTGTTCTTTTGTGATGTGTTTGGAAGTGTTTAGAAAGAGACTTTAAAGAATTCACACTGTGCTTTTCAGGAATTCTTTTTTACCCCAAGTTGGATGTATTAGTTTGAAATACAACGCTGTTTCCTGTGCAGTACTTGTTGTGGGATCCTTTTCCCCGCAAACTCTTAACAGTCTTGTGTGCTCAGTGATGCTGACTCTCCATCATCTTTTGCAGAATTACAGAAGACTCTGCAGTGACAACATTTGAAGCGTTAAAGGCTCGTGTCCGTGAGTTAGAAAGGCAGCTTTCCCGTGGGGACCGCTATAAATGTCTCATTTGCATGGTGAGTAGCACTCCACTTGTGGTAATGAATCAGAAATGTCTTGGTATCTTTGCCGAGGAGGGGAGAAGCTTTTCTCCTTTTTCAGGCAGAGTGGGGAAACTCATCACCAATTARCCTTCCAAATTAATGTGTTAATAAYTGAAATTTCTGTGTGAATTACATTGTTTCACTGGTGTTTGTAGCTGTCCRTCTATATCACGGGCAAGAAAGGCCCAACTTAGAAGTCTTTCAGCCTTCCTGTAGAAAAMTCCCAGATATTAGCATCCACTTTCTGCACGTGCAGATTTACATACATAGGAGAGAGCAGAATCTGTGATCAGAGACTCACTGTCTCTGATTTGGGAACAGGAATGTTGCCTGAGCATTTAAAAGTTGCCAGTGCTCTCTGGTGATGCTGTGGCCTTCCWCAGGAAGGGCAGCAGCTCCCTCTGATGGTCCAAGCCTGCAGGGCTCCACATCTCCTGTTGGGTTTGTGTTTTGCCGAGAGCAGAACATTCTGCTTGGTGGAGAGCTCCCTCTGCAACATCAGCTTGATGCGCAGGCTTCTCTCTCCCAGCCAGCTCACAACTTGGAAATGTGGGAGTGCAGTCCTTTCCACTCATCCCACAGAAGGGATGACAGTTTGCTGCTGATTTCCAGAGGTTTGTTAGCAATGACAGAAGATACTCAAGAAGGCATTCTGCTGAAACAGCAGCAGCCTTCTTGGGATGTACTTAAACTGTTCCTGCAGAGCTATGAGTTGTGATAAGGGTTGATCTTACCCTGTCACTGGTTCTCATAAGATCTGGTGCCCTTTCTGATGAGAGTAAGGTAGGTGGCCAGAACGACTTCAGATGCTTTTGCGATAACTGTGCTGAGCCAGRTCACCACTTGAGTGGATTATGGGCTTCCAGCAGGGGTTCTGGGAAGCCTGGAAAAAAGACTGCAAGAGACATTATGCCATTTCTACACAGACATTACAAAAATAAAACTTCCATATTAGACAAGTTGGTTTTTTTTGAGCTAACTTTTCTAACACAATACAAGGCAGTGTTACCCACAGAGAAAGGCGTTGTGATGGGGTTAGGAGTGAAGAATCAGTAGATCCCTGCTATGGAAATAATCTGTTTGCTTCTTTTCCTCAGGACTCCTACACAATGCCCCTGACTTCTATTCAGTGCTGGCATGTGCACTGTGAAGAATGCTGGCTGCGGACTCTGGTGAGGCTCTTGACTCCTTTCTTGTTGACTTCCAGCCTCTTTACTCTTTTCTCAGATACTTTATTCTAGATAGCCACAGGCGAAGGTGCTTTTTGTTTTATTTTAACAATCTGAGTGCTGTGCTTGCAGATTTCCCAAGCCTGGCTGTTTAACACTCCACTCTAGCTTTGACATGAGAGAATTTTGTTTGAGTCGTTGTACCCAAGTTCTGTCCTGCCTCTTGCTTTTTCCTCCACTGCTGTGGGAAGAGCTCTGTGCCAGGGACTGCCGTGCCTTTCAGTAATTTCCTGGGGGGCATCCATGCAGAGAGGTAAAACTGTGAGAATGGAGGCCAAATCCACTGAGATTTCATGGAATGGGTAACTTCTGAGAAATGTAATACTCCCTTGAAGCAAAGGAAATCATCTTCAGGAGAGAGGATGTGGAAGGGAACTTTTATAATGTGAATCTATATTTTTTAGGTAAATTAGAATAGCACTGTGTGGTTTTCAAGCATATGCCAGTCTGTTTAGAAGATTGGGGACTACCTTGAACATTGAATAGGTGGCCCAGTGGAGTAGTAATTTATACATTTCTTAAAGGACATAAGGTTAAAATTTAAGGTGTTATTTCATCAAGTGTTTTCTTTCCCGTGTTAAAACAGTGGGCTTTATAATCAGCCTTTAATGTCCCCTCTGCAGCTGATTTTCAAGCTTTCATTTTGTTCAGGCTGGGAGTGGAAAATAGTCATTTGTGCTTTCTAGTTCTCCTGTTAGCAAGATGATACAGTGTTGGGTTGCAAAAAATGTAAGGGAATGCCACTCCTAAAAATTTGTTCCTGGAAGGCATTACTCTACTTTATAAAACATGTTGTGTGCTTGGAATTACGATTAAGCTGATCATGCTCCTTTAAATCCTGCCTTTTAAAAGTCTTGTCCAAAAAAAGTTACCAGGATGGTGAAGGGCCTGTGGGCTTCAGTACTAATAGCAACTCAATAACTTGGCTATCCCTTGGGCTGTATTTTATAGCTCTTCAGCTACACCCTGTACATTATATAAGCTTTTGTAAACATTTTAGCAGCATGTTATAAAAGACACATATGTGGGTACGTAGCTGTGAGGTGTCAGGATGAATGTGTGCTCTGCCAYCTTTGCTAAGTGGAGAGTAATCTTGTCTTTCAGTAGTGTTACAAGCACAGGATAAAGCACTGARTTCCTCTTCATTTTCTTTACTCTGAGGTCTTTGTCCTCTCCCCACCAACCTCAAGTTACATTCTAAATCTGTGGCACTGATTTCAGGCTGTTGTTAGGCTCAGCAGCAACTTAGTGCAACTTCAGTCAGGTCCCTTTTTGTCATGTTCAGCAGTCACAGCTGCTCATGAGAATGGAGAAACTCAGCTCCAGGTGCTCAGGGATTAACATTTCCCTTGCAGAGGGGAAGCCATTTCCCCCCTAGAATTCCATGAGAAATGTGGGCATGAAGCCGGCTGTGTGTGATCCACACATGGCTCTTCTGCTGACCAGGCAGGAGGGATGGGAACAGTCCAGCAAGACATCATGTTAGGGCTTGGCACTTGCATAGGGGAAGCAATTAATAAGTGACTACTCATGTGTTCCCCAGTCCTAGCTCTCCCTGCAGCCCCCAATTTATTAAACCAGGCCTTTTCACAAGGCATGCTTGCACTCCCTCTCCCATCTCAAAAAAATCTCCCAGCCTGTGTTCGCATGTTTCTAATGTAACCATTAAAATGTAGCCTGAAGACAGCAATAAAAACCCTGGAACGCCTTGGTGCTTTTGTGTCTTGATCAAAGTCAATGTGTGTAATCTCGTTAAGACTGCCCTCCTTCCCCCCTCCTTTTTTATGAATTTAATGGCATACAGCAGCTGGCTCAGTGTTTAATGCTTACCAACCTGCATTGTTCTAATTAAGGTATCTCCTTTTATTTCGGGCACAAAAGAGACTCTTGTTTTTTTTAACAAGCGAGGAGCTGTGGGATAGTGTGTGTAATAATCGCTGCTGTTACCTTACCCTGGGTATAAAGCTGGCTCCCCAGTGGGGCTGGGAGGAGGGAGCCTGCGCGTGCAGCACACATGGAAAGATTTGGCTGGGGGAGAGGGGCACCATTTTTCTTCTGTTGTGCAATAAACAATTTGTTGGAGTTAATAGGAGTTGGAGCAGGCGGGTTGTGTCAGGCTTCCGGCCCCTTTTGAACAATTTGGAGACCTGCCATCCATGCTGGTGAAAAGTCACCATTCTCCTGTGTGCCTGTGGTTCACGTGCCCGGCCAAGATCTAAGATTAAATTAGAGTATGAGTTTGTCTGAGAGAGCAAGGATCRTGTACTGAACAAGGCCCTGAAACTGAACACTCTAAGTGTTTAGAAGCACATCTAAACCTCTGTGGGGTGTTGTGAAGACAGRATGAAATTTGATGCTCACATGGTTTAAACATTTTCTAGGATATGATACAGTGATCTGAGCATCTGACTAAGGTGGTGTTTAGGGCACTGATGAGGATTGGATCTTAAAATGCTTAGACTTTATGAAAATTGATTTTTTACATTTTTGGCTCTTGATGTTCAATTCCAAATTATAACTGTTCTGTTGGTAAGGGCAAGGGGGAGACTTTTAACCACCAGCTCTATAAATGATTGCTGGGCTCTCTAGCTTAGGTACCATTATAGTGAAGTTTAGCATTTCAGCTGGCTTCCCTTTGGAAACCCTGAAAACTGGTACAGGTTCTTCAAAGATAGGAGAGGAGATGGTGTTGCAGGAGCAAGGCAGAGCCTGGACAGCAGCAGGGGGAGTTCCTTTCTGTGAATGTCAGTGTTGCTCATGGCGGGTGTCCATTCTCAGCTGGTTGTTGGACTGCAGCCCAAGTCACTGGGTGATAGGGATGAATCTCCCTCTCTAAGAATCTGCCCATTCTTCATCCTTCATCCTTCCATTAACTGTGAGGGAGCCTACAGCTACTAATGGCTGAGATTKGTATTTTCCTTCTCCTGGGAAGAGTGTTCTAACTGTAGATTGGCTCATCAACATCATTGGCTGTAGTGATTTGCTGGAAAGGTTTGGAGTCTCCATCCTTGGAGGTCTGTGAGAACAGGTTTGGTGTGTGGCTGTTAGCAGCAATTCAGKCTGAGGTGATCTTGCCCAGGGAATGGGTTGGTGAGTTCTTGATGTCCCTCTGAGCTGTAGTTCTGTGGTTTCCCAATCCTTGGTATCCTTCTTTATGAAGTAAATAGAGTTAGAGGCTAAGTCAGCCTGTTGTTTGCCAGTGATGGAGCTGTTGGTGGGTGCAGGGGCTGAAAAAGGACAAGTTTATTTGAGCAAATGCAGTTTAATGAGTTTCCCCCATCACCTGTACGAGCCAGATCCAACATTTCCCACATGTATTTGTGGACTCCAGGCTTGTGCTTGCCTGTCTTGSGTTTATTTGAAAATGACAACTACAAGAGCAGGAAAAAATCCCTTCTAAAAAGCCTTCTTCATCACAGAATGCTTCCAGGGGATCCATCGATATATATGTGTGCTCTGCAGTTGACACATTTATATCTTTGGTAATTACTACATTCTTAGCCCTGCCAATTTTTCTAGGTTCTAGTACCATATATCCCATGTGTGTTGAAGTAGTTTTGTACAAAACAGCACAGATACAGAGYAGTCCTTCTGGGTGATTCCTCAGTGCTTCAGCAACATAGGGACCTCCTGAGTCAGCAGCTGCATGGAGGATGCCACGCTTGAGCCTTCATGATCTTCTCATCTGCCATTAGATTATTTGGTAATTAATTAGCATTTTTCAGTTCTGGTGTCTGGAAGCCTGTGGGGGTGAGCTCCACCCTTTGAGGAAGCTCTGTGAAAAAAGTTGTTCTCTTGATGGTTTAACTCCATGACCAGACAGCTGGAGGGTACCCCATAATGCCACTGGGGGATATCTGTTTCTCTGGGAATTAGCATCTGCAGGAAAGAAGCTCCACTCTTTGTGTGGAGGGGTGGGGTGGGAGAAGAGGCTCTTGTGTTGGTTTGGAATTAAATCTCGACATTCAGTTCCTTTCCTGGCAAGAAGTTGGATCTTGGTTTGGGTCTCCGCTGTCATCTCTCTACTTTGATTTTACTTCCTTTGACTGCTCTGTGTGTCTCTTTATTCTCTGTGCCTGGTAATGCATTCTGCATGGAAATTGCCCATTTTTAGACCCACAAGACAGCAGGAAGTGCCTAAATCCTTCCTTGTGAGTTTCCTTGCTTTAGCCAATTTATAGCAGACGTCAAACCATTTTTTTTTTTAAGAGGCAACTTTAAGACAAACTACTCCAATYCTTCCTGGCACCATGTAAGCCCTAACGACTTTTCAACATCTCAGCTCTCGTTAATGCATTTTTCAAACTAGTATCCCAAGTGATTAGCCTGTATTGTGGATCAATCACTTGCCAAATTTTAATTAAGAATGGAGGAGAAAAAATAAACTYCATCCTGGTTCCAGCCCCATTTCTTTGCTTTGTAACAGCCCTGGAGCAAACTTCTTGCAGCAGAGTTTTATAAACCCCTCAAAACTGGGGTTTATAATGGAAAAGCTGAGGTGGCCTTTACTCTAGCACACRCAGCTATAACACATCAAGGCTTTTCCATGTAGCTATGATGAAAGGAGCAGAAGGACCTGGAAAAAAAAGAAAGAAATGGCCGACAGGTGGGACTTATTATTCCACAGCATTTTTATTTCAAGGGAAAAGTTTAGTAACCCCAGCTGGCAGGTGAGCAGTGGGGGAGCAAAYGCTTTTTCATTGTGCCTGTGCCAGCATGTGCGTGTGTACAAGCTTATGTGACTCACCACAAGAGAGGAGAGCTTAAACACTGGTGCAGATAAATGTTGTASACATACACTGAAAAGTCAGATGCAAGGGACAAGGTTCTGAGCAACTTCAATCTAAGAAGTAAAAAATCAGGAATTTGTTCAGAATTTACCACACCTGTTTATATGTGCAGAGGAGGACAGTTTCATTGCATAAAGAAGAAGAATGCATTCCCAAGTGTCCAAAGTAATTACTTTTGCCTGAACTGTTTAATACCAAGCACAAGTGCTAGAGGGACCAAGAGCCATGGGCCTAGCATGCCACGTGCAGCCTGCACAGCATTCAGGCCACACTGCTGAAGGTCTCCAGGATGCTGTTGTTGCTTTTCAGCAGAGCTCAAGGAATAGGTGTGCTTCCCATGTGCAGGTGAAGCAGTATCCACCCCTGCCCTAAATCAGTCTGTGATCATGTAGCTTTTGCRGAAAATAGGTCAAACTTCATGTGGTTGCTTTCTGCTTTGTGACATTGTTGAAAACTTGTCCCTGGCTATGCGTGTGCAGCTCTCAGCCTTAGGTGGGAGAGTGGATCCCCCTCAGACTRTCAGCATGAGGTGCAGAAAATGGATCTCCAGGACAGAGATCCCAGGGTCTGGCAAGATAAATCCAGCCATCTTCCCGTTGCGTGTAGTGTGAGGGAATGCATACCTGCCCTTGCTTTGCCATGGAAGAGAGCAGCAAAGGTGCAGTTGGTTTCATCAAAGGTGCAGTTGGTTTCATCAGGCTTGTTCTGCCATCCCTGTGGGCTGAGTGCAGAGGGCTGGTGCTTACAGTGAGCACTTGCAGCCTTTGCTTGGATGCTTTGCTGCCCCTTGCCTGTAAGCCTGTCTTAGTAAGGAGAGCATGGACACAGATGTGGACGCTAGTCACATCTGGAATGATTTAAGTCCCCATCCACGCTTCCTTCTGCTTGTCAGGGCACACAGGAAAGCTTGAACAGGCAGCTGCCAATTGCTGTCCCTCGGACAACATGCTGTGAATTAATTCCTCAGCACCTCTTGCCACTTCCTCTGGGACCCCCCTCCAGCTACAAAAATTGTGCCAAGAGGGCAGCTAGGTCGAACAGGTGCCTTCAAGGACAAGGGAACTGCATGGAACTGAGCAGAGACTCAATTGAAACAGGCTGTTTCATGGCATTTGCATCCAGATTAGTGAGTCCCTCCTTGGGAGTGCTGCTATGTCACCCAGCCCACAGTGGCAGAAGGGGCAGATGTTTAGATTTTTCTCTTTTTCGTGTTTTGACCACTACAGCAAGTTTTTACTGGGACATGCAGACTTAGAGGTTGCCATTTCTAATTCTGGAGATCCAAAGCTATGGTGATGAGCACTAGCAAAGAGATGTGTTGAATAAGCAGGCTTGATAAAGTCCAGTGCAGTCAAGTTGTAGTTTCATTAGAGTTTTAAGCCTTTCATTTGAGTTGTAGTTTGCACTTGCTCCTCCCAGAATTCAGCAAGCCAAGTCCACTTGGTGAAGACTGCTGCATAGGGCTGCATGATACATTGCACAGGCAGAGTGGGATGTTCCCTGCCCCAGAAGGCTGAAAATCTAAACAGACACAGATATCGTTGTCACAGATAGCTGGAAGGATGTGCTCTCAGGCATCAGCCAAACAGCATTAGGTGTGCTACCCAGACACAGCAGTGGTCTGTCCATCACCAGACTGCCAGTCTGTCACTGAGAGTGATGCCCAGGCTGTTTTGGGYGTCCTTTACATTTTGTTCACCTCTAGCCCAACAAGACTTTGTGTGTGGCTGGTTTAGATGTGGTGCAAGTGCCCRTGGTCCCCACATGTGTTCTGTCAACAKCTGGGCTGCAGGSAGCAAGGGCTGTCAGATGGGAGACTGATTRTTCAGAAGCCCAAAGCTCAGAGAGGGGCAAGTGTGCAAAGCCCATGTCTGCCAGGAATAATGTGCAGTGGGAGCAGGGAGGGGCCTGGTTCCAAACCGGCCTGCAGCAGGACTTGGTACTGCAGAGCAAACATGACTTGCACCTCTTCGGAGCTATACCCTTGTGAATTATTTGCACCGGTGTAAATTTTCTACGCCCTCCTCCAGATTCTCCATAGTCCAAGGAGCTTCCAGGGGAGAAGGTCCCTGTCCTGCCTTTGCAGGGAGAGGACCTGTTGTAAGGATGCTTCTGGTAAACAGCAGTGCCAGTTGCTCTGCTAGGGATGTACCCCTGTGCATCCAAGTGTGGCAGGTCACAGTCCTGCCCTGCTGCTGCTCTCACTGTTGCAGGTGCTGYAACAAGGCCTGCTCAGGGAGAGCAGCAGCACCACTGAACTGAACAGCCTCASCTCTGCCAGCAAGCCCTGTGCAAGCCAGCAGGTTCTCATACRGGGTTGCTTTCCTGGCAGCTCTCTTGTCACGCTAAGTGATGTAGGAGGGGTTTGTCTAATAGCAGTGAGCAAAACTTGGGGTGCTCAGTTCTGTGTATCAGGAGGTCGTGTTAAGACTTTGGTGAGTACGGAAAGCCAGGCCATCCCAATTTCCCACGGTGCTGGTGCTGTAGATGGGAGGCTGCCTCACGGCAGAGCCATCATTCTGTCATTTTTCCCATCAACTGTCTATCACATCTGCCAATCTAATGATGACCAGCTTAGGTTGACCTCGATTSTGAGGCTTATTAATACCCTCTTGCTGTCAAGCTTAGTGATAGATGGCACATCAGTCCTTGTTTTATTTCATGTGGTGTTCCTGTTGGCCAATCATTACCCCACCCCAGCTCACATTACACTTGGCTGGTTTCAGCTCACCTTGGCAGAACAGACTCATCTGTGCAGCATCTGTGTGAGCTGAGGGGGACGGGACAGGAGGTTCCTTCATGCCAGCAGCTCATAGGCTTTTGCAGGATGGACGAGGCAGTGCCCTGTTGTGCTGCCCTGAAARGGATGGTCCAAGCTGCCCATGAACCATCTCAGTCATCCCTGCTGAAAACTTCACTTGTTCCAGTTGGGTTGATTTTCTGCCTGTTCAGTGACCTGAACTGGCTCATTGAGGGCTGCAGGTGAGCAGGGGAAACAGAAAGGAGCAGATCTGTCCAGCTGCCTCATGCCAGGGACTGGAGCAGGACAAGGGGCTTGCAGGGCAGGCAAGAGAGGCATTGGGACTCCCCCTTCACACAGGTTGTGCCCACTGTTGGAGGCCATGGCKCTCTGCCTGGAGGGCCTTGCTGCTCCTGCTGCTCTTACAATCCCAGGCCAAGGGCAGGGATGTCCTTCACACTCTGACTCTGTGCATCTCATCTGCTGGTTGCAGGGTGCCAAGAAGCTCTGTCCTCAGTGCAACACCATCACCTCTCCTGGAGATCTTCGGCGCATCTACTTATGAAGGACTCAGCAGGAGGGCGGAACCCGGCTACGGCTCAGCTCATCACACCCAGGGGGAGAAGAACGACCACAACAAAAAAAAGACGTTTTAAAATTTAAAGAAAAAACAAACCAGAGACTCCAGACATGGACTCGAGGATATATGAGCAGTGGGGAGTCTCRGCTGCCAGGTCACACAAGTTGAGACCTTCTTCAGCATCTGCAGYGGGCAAAACCAAATCCTTTGTTGTGAAGCCCCCTTTTTTAATACCAGTGTTCCCCATCACCCATTCCCTGGAGCTGGCTTTGCATTGAGGATGGCTCGTGAGCCCTCCTTTGGACTGTGTTGTTGACCACTCTGTCCCCAGGAGACTGGGGAAGGGACCCTTGACAGAAAGATGTTAAATAACCTGTAACTTGTGTTCTTTGATCAGTTTTTGTTTTGTTTTTATTTGGTTTGGTTTGATTTTTTTGTTTGGTTCTGTTTTGGTTTTTTGTGGTGTTCTAGTGATAACTAAAAGGTTTAAAGAAAAAAAAAACACACCCAGGCAGAAATGAAGCACATGTAATATAGATTATATATGTTTACAATGTTGTGTATAAATGGGATAGACTCAAACATTACATACTAATAAGTTTCCCTTTCTTTTCTTTGGGTTGTATTTTTTTTAAAGAAGAAAAAAATGAGCAGAGAACATTAAACCCATATTTTTCTTGGTTCAGCAAAGTTTTGGCATTAAAGTCATTAGTTTAAAAAAAGTATATATATACATATATATAATATAAATGGTTTAATGTTCTGTGGTGTATATTTCCTCATTCAGATATGAAGTTAACAGCTTTTAGTAATGGCTGTAGCATTGCCCATAACTTACAGAACTTATGGGGAGTAGAGGAGGTGGATTTTTGTCATTAGTTGTAGCTAATGGGGCTATTTATAATAGAATCGTTATCCCCGGAAAGACACAGCTTTTAACTCCTCACCGGGGGCCGGGCAGGACARGGGGAATCTGGCTCAGCCCCCTTTGTCTTTCCCAGCTGGGAAAGGGGCAAACGGTGAGGAGCTGGAAAGAGGGAGTCTGTCAGAGCACTGCTCTCTCCCCTGGCTGGGACTGCCTGCTCGAGGGTCCAGCTGATCCCTGTGCTCCTCCAGGCCACAGCCCCGTCCCCTGCCCTGCCTGGCTTTGYTTTCCTCCTCTGGGCAGCATTTCCTGGCTGAGGATGCCTGGGCTGCTCAGGACGATGCTGAGGCAGGACAGTGGGGAAGTGGGGATGGCAGGGGAYAGAATGGTCCTGCTGGTGGCTTTGCCCAGACTCAGCTGGTTTCCTTGCAGGGCTGCCTGGCAGAGCTGTGCAAGCCCTGCAGAGCCAGCCCTGCCCTGTGCCCGCTTYCCCCAGCTGCCACTCTCCTGCAGCCTGCGTTTTTCCTAAGACATTTTGGCATTAGGGCAGAGAACCAAGCCAGCCCTGCCTTGTCCCCACTGCCACCCCCAGGGYCCAGCAGAGACACTCTCACCCAGAGGTCCCACGCAGCCCCAGCTTCTTCCATGCAGTCCCTTGTGCTTGTCCCCGTCTCCCATATCCCCAGCCTTAACCAAAGCTGCCATCTGGCCTGGTTTTTTGTTGTTCTTTCTTTTATTGTCAGGACCCAAGAAACAGATACCATTTCCCAAGGCCTTGTGTGCTGACTTCTCCCAGCCCACTGTGCATCCCTCCCACAGCTCCATGGGCAGTTGTGGGGTGCCAACTCCCCACAGCCAGAAGACGGAGATGGGAAAGCTCATCTGCCCCACTCCTTTCCAAGCAGATCCCACCTGGCAGCACAACGTAGCTGGAGCATTTTAAGCCATCTGGAAACAGCAGTGGATGAGGGGTTTGGAGTTGGGACTCCAGGGGTGCTGGGGTGTTTTCAGAGAGGGAAGGGCTGGAGAAGCAGGGTGCATGGTGAGTGTGACAGTCCCACTGCTGCTTTCCTGCCCTGAGCTCTTGTGCAGAGAACAGCTGTAGCCTTAGCATCTCCTGAGTGATTTCAGAAGGATCCTACTGCACCCAAAAAAAAAACCCCAAATGAAGGGGCTGTTATTTCATGAACATCAAAAGGTGACAGTTCCTAATTGGGAGTTTCCCTTGTCTCCAAACTCATAGCGGTGTGTAGCCTCTTGAGGCCAGAGAGCTGCAGCCTCCTCTGCTCAGGGACATGTGCCAGCAGAGCTCCCAGGAATCAGAGGAAGCTGAGGCACCCCAGAGGGTCCTGCCTTCACAGGGAGACTGAGCAGGGGCTGTCACTGTGGCCAACAGAACAAAGCAGGGGAAGAGCAGGCACACACAGCTCAGGCCAGATTTGTAAAGGGAGAAAAACTTGTGGGGCACATGGCTGAGCTGGGAGTAGGCTGGTGCTGAGATCTCAGAGATGGATTTGGAGAAGGTGCAGCCAGGTGGGCTTGAGGGGCAGCCAGGAAGGACAGGGGAGGGCATGACACCCCAACCCAGCCCTTCCTTGGAAATAGCCTGGCTCCCTCCCAGGGCCTTTCTGGCAGATGTTGTGGACCAGCCGTGTGCTCTGTGTACGTATGTGTAAAACCATATGTAACTAGTCATTGGTTCTTTGTTTTGGGGTTTATTTTTGGTTTATTTTTTTTGTTTTAATTGTAAAGCCATCCCCTGTTTTCAAGGGGGAGGCTGCAGGGGGAAGGCTGGGTAGAGAGGCATCCCAGTTTGTAACAGGCATCTGCCACTTCCCCTTTTCTGTAATGAGTTTTAAATGATTTTAAAAAAAGAAAAAAAAAAACTGAAATATCAGAGTTACCTATCTTTGCCCAAAGAATCCCAGTTGCACAAAGCGATATTCCGGTGTGTCGATGATTGTGTGTCAGTGTATATTATACAAAGAGGTACTTGTCACTCCCGTTTGTAAACTACATTTGACATTAATTAAACAAGTATAAATCTTCTCGGGCGCCTTCTGCCTCTCTGTGTTTCCCTTTGCAGGCAAGAGGCAGCAGAGGAGACACCCCCACACGCTGCAGCCCCTGGATGTGGTAAGGTCCCAGAGGGCAGTCCTGGTCCTGTTTGGGATGCAGAGACAGATGTAGAGGGATGCTGGGACACTCGCCAGGCCCCACCACGGATGGGTTCCCCCAAATGGTCCCTCCCATAGAGCCAGGAGGGCAGGGGAAAGGGCACCCCTCAGGGGACACCCCCATAATGAAGTCTCATTGGCTGCATTAGTTGGGGGCAGGAGGCGCCCAGCCCAAACAGATCTATACATCCTGCATTAGGGGCCCCCAGTGCAGTGTAGGGTTACCCCGACACAGGGACTGGGAGGCTGCTGGGGGTGGAGGGGCAGAGGTTGGGTTCCCCCCGGCACGCAGCTGGCGCCGACGCTTTCGGTTTCCAAACATTTTGCAGATGGGTCAATGGGGTGTTTTCAAACCCCTCTCCATGGCTGTGTTTGCCAGGGATGGGTGCTGGGGGTCCCCAGGCTAGTGGCAGGAGGCAGTAGGGATCCTCTTTCCACCTGCTGTAGCAGGGATAGAAAGGGGGGATTTGGCCACCTTTTTGGCTGGCAAGGAGCAGCAGAGCATCTCAGCCACTCTCTCATCCACTTTCAGCCCAAAGGAGGCCTGAGGCCAGGGTAAGGGGCAGGAGCCCTCCCTCCCTCTCCACATACCCCACAGCAGGCTGCTAATATTTTATTTAAAATATCTTTAGGAAGCGGAGGACCGTGATGTATCGGATATATTGAGAAAATGCTAATGTGTAATAGCGTGTGTCAGGGGCCTCGTTCATCACCCTGCGCYGCCTTCTGGGGGATCCATATCTAATTAACAGTAATGAATGAGGGAGCCCACCTAATGACAGCCCGCCAGTTTGTTATGGAAATGAGGCAATCCCATTAGGCAAAACACTTAATTAAACAAACTGCTCGGAGTGTAGGCCAGTGCAGTATGGGCACAGGCCCTTTGGGGAACAAGGGAGGCCCTGGTACCCAGCCCTCCACATGCCAGGTTGGGAGCTCCGAGGCTGCTGCAGCCTCCAAAGCTGCGTGTCCATGGTCAATTCCGGTAGCAGGGACTGGGGAAGCTGAGAGGGACCTTCTTGGGGRGGTCCCAGCTGGGGAGGGAGCAGCAGGGCCGTTCACACCCCCCCTCATCTCTCTCCTTCGATGGGCTCAGAGGCAGCAGAGGCCAAACACAGATTTCCAATCAAACGTGTGTACTTGGCTCCTGCTCTATTGACACTGAAGCAAGAAGGGCTCAAGGTTAATTCCTTATCAATACCCTATTGTCAGCTCATCCATCACTCGGGGCGGGGGGGCAGGGGCTGCACAAGCTCTCCCTGCCCCAACCCCCATAGGTTTGGGAGGGTGACCAAAGGATGCCGTACCCACCCCAGCCGTGCCCACGCAGCCTGTCTCTGGTGGTGCTGGGGTGRGCTTGCAGCCATGTGAAGATGCAGATGGAGGGGTCAAGTTCAAAGGGAAGAGGCTGGWGGAATGCCCGTGCCCCAGGCATAGTGCAGGAGCTGTTTGGTTGTGCTGGACAAGGGGCTACTGAGAGAGGGATCAGGTGGTGGATGTGGCCCCCATTTGTGCTATYCTCTTTCCTAATTGCCTCCTAAGCCCCTGGCCCTGAGTGCTGGGGGGGTCATGCCAGCCTTTTCAGAACAGCACTAAGCTCAGCTCCTTTCCCAGGCTTGGGGTCTACGTGGAATCCAAGGGAGCTCCAGAGTCCTGATCTGTGGAGTTCCCAGAACTCCATGGTCTGCTTGATCACACTGTTACAGAGATTCACTTTAAAACAGATAGCCTTCCCTGGGTAAAGGGGGAGGGAAGTGCTGCAACCTGGCCTGCTTGTGTGAGAAGGGCTGTAAAKCTATTCCTGCTGTTAGATTTTTGGTTTTAACAATCAGTTAAAGCTGAGGAATGGGATCTAGTATAAATTCCAGAGGCAGGCAGCCTAGGGAGAGATGCTGTTCTGTATTAACTCACAAGCTCTGCTTCTTGTCATCGGAGTTAGTCCTTGCTGGTCTTTTTCCTTGCCCCAAGGGGGCTCTTTCTGCAGGAGATGCTCTCGAGCACACAGAAGTGCTGGGCTGAGCYGTGCTGTTGGGGTCTTCTCCAGGATCTGCTCAGCTGTCTCCTAGACGAGAAATCCCTCCATGCGGGAAAGAGGGGTCCTGCTGCCATCTCGTGGAGCTGTTCCCGCCCGGCACGGGGCTCCCGCAGGGCTCTGCACAGCCAGCTCCTCCTCCATCACCTCCACGGGCAGTGGAGACCAGGCTCACTCCTCCCTCCTTCACTTTTTGGGATGCAGCACACGGGGTTGGATTGCTTGGTTCCATCCCGTTCCATTCCCACTTTTCCATCACTGGCAGAGCTCCACACATGCCTGCAGCATCCCAAAACACACAAAGATGGGACCTCAGCCCACCACACCTTTAAAACACCTTTATGAGGTGTGGGCACGGGTCTGTCTCCACCTGTTTTGAATTACTTATGCTGCAAGATGCTACCCCGGCTCCAAAACCTGACCCCTGGCTGGGCTGGATCCTGYCCCTGGCCTGTCCAGTTCCCCACCACAGCCTCCCCCAGTGCTGCAGGAAGCTCTGGATTCACAGACACCCTCCCAGCCCTGTCAGCAGGATCACATGGGCCACCCTGACCACTAAGGGTTTTTTCTTTTTCAAAAAGCCTTCCWCTAACATCACCGCCTGGGGACAGAAGGCAGCACAGTGGAGCATGCCAGGAGTCAGCTCCCTTACAGGAAATACTTTCAAATGGATTTTGTTGCTGAGAGAAAGTGAATTTTGCTTTGCCACAACGGTGGCAGCCAGCTGTGAGCATCTTCCTCTCCAGCCACTGCTGGTGTTCTACCCACACTGTTCCACAGTCTGCACATGAGGGCTGGACTGCAGGAAAACAAGCTCTGGGYCACATCCCACTCCCTACCCTCGAGGCAAGCCCAGGGATGCTGCATTTTTCCTCCCAATGAACAGATCTGCAATGCCCCTCCTCCCCACAGCTCATCTCAGAGATTTACCTGGATTTGCCAAGATATCACAACCTTTGGGCTTTCAGTGTTCAGTCTGAAGCTCTTTAGGAACACGGCTGCGCCAAACCGTGACAGTTTAGCAAGGATTAAGGGTCTGAGGCTGGGTTTCTGTAAATCCAGTAGTGCTTGGATCAGTTCTCGGCCGTGTGCCTTCAGGCTCTAAGTTATTAACCTTCWGTTTCAAATAACAAGCCACAGGAATACAGAGGGCAGGAGGGTGGGGGCACACAYGCAGTACAGGAAAGCAGAGGGCAGCGTATCACACAGCACTCACAATTGGAATTAAAACTTKCTGGGACTCGGAAAACAAAACCCACCCAGCAGAGTGGTGATGTAAATCACTGGATTGCCCGAGATCATCCTGCTCTCAGAGAGATGTGYACACAAATTACCCCTGAATTTCAAGTCATTTTTGCAGCAGTGGACCTGCCTGTGAGCAGGTTCCTGTTGGCAAACCTCAGGACAACTCCAGCTGTAGAGCTCCAGCRGGCAGCACCCGCTCTCTGCCTGCTRCCCTGGCAAGTGGGGAAGTAGGGCTGAGCTGGACTGAGCTGGGGAAGTGGCCATCCCATGATGGRAAGGTGAAATTGGGGATGGAAGGTGCAGCTGCCATGTGAGGCTCTTCCCAGAGGAACTTTCACCATCCTGTCACACCAGGTCAGAGCGTTTAGCTCCAGCTCCTGCCAGCCATGTTCTGCAACAGCYCGAGTCCTTAAACAGGAGAAACTCAACACCCACAGCAATAAACAGGAACAGCAGATTCCCAGGAACAACTGYATTAATTCAGAGGTGTGTATTATGAAGTGTTTAACTGATCTGTAAATACTGAACCTGTAGAAAACAGCATGAGGGCAAGGGCTGGTTAAATRGCCTTTATCACCTCTGCTCCCTAAGAGTGTTCACAGTGCCACAAACAGGCTGGATGCTGAGAAGCCCCAGCCCAGCTCTCTGAGAAGGCAGATGAACACATCAGAGCTCAAAAGTTACAGCACTGACAGCACAAATCAGAGGMCTGCTTTAGAAAGGGAGATCTCTGATGGGCTATCTGGAGATAGGGGACTCTGCCTGAGGTCCAAACCTTAGAAACAAGAATTTCTCCATGAAAAAGGGAAGGCTGAAGGCTCTTACCACAGAGTAGCCCTTACACCCCACAGTCTGAGTGGAAGATGGGACTAGGATCACACCCACAGAAGACTGGATCCTGAACAAAAACAAAGGTTCCTATGCCTAGAGACAGTTTTCACTCAGAAAAAATCAAAGACAAACCAGGTCATCAGCCCCTTTTCAGTTAATTCTCACCTATCCCATATACACCCCAGCCCACCCTCTAAAACCACGCCCATCTGCTGGTTATTCTGCTGTAAATCARAGTTGTCACAATAGTCTGCTATAAATAGCTGAGTGGTCACCACTGCCACTCACCCTTACGCTTTCACTTCTGTGCAGTGTTACAGCTCTTGTTTTAAATTTCCATATTATTTTAGTGCCTCCCAAGGACCACCCCCTCAGCATTTCAATCCAGAACAGAAAGTGTTTTGTAATTGTGGATGACAGCACCCCAAGGGKGGGCAAGACCAGCACAGCCACCCACAAGAAGAACCTTTCGCAAAAATGCTCATCCTTTTTAAGTGCTTACATCTCTAGGGCAACTCCTTGTTCAAACAGGCCCACGTCACAGCCCTCCAGAGCTTCTTTCTGGCAACTTAAAGTTGSCTAAATCTGTTCACCATGTTCTTAATTAGCTTGCAATGCTGTGACATAGCATAAATATATCAGCAGGCTCTCAACTGTCTTTATCCCCACTTCTCCCCCAAATAAACAACAAAACCTAAACYCAAACATGGATCGAGTGCAGTGCAATCAGCTACTTTTCACTAGGTGGAAGGAATTAATTTCATGGACATGTTACATGGACTTCAATGACTGATCATCTTTTGTCCATATTATGGACAAAAACATGGTATTTTATGRTCATTTGTAGGCTGGAGGTTATTTAAGAAATACCCAGTATAAAGCATAGCTCCAAGAGWAAGTTCCATTTTCTTCTGCAATTCCATCWTTCTGCTTCTGAGGTCTGGCATAGCTGTAACCCAAAAGTTCCATTTTCTTCTGCAATTCCATCTTTCTCTTTCTGGGGTCTGGCACAGCTGTAACCCAAAAGGTTTCCCTGAATATTCAGGTGCAAAATATAGGCTGCTTAAAGACATACAATAAATAAGTAGCTCTCCAAGAGAGCCGAACTATTCAGTGGCACTCACAAAAGACTGGAAGGAAGGGAAACAAAACACTAGACACATTCAAAAATGTTAGCTTAAACTTTGGGTTGAAGAACACAAAAGTTAACACATACATTTGAGCCCCCACCAAGGATCAGAGAGCTTTGACTATTCTGTCTCATCTATTGAATGGAACCCGATGACTGTCTGGTCATACTGCCCTATATGCACCTTTTCCAGGCCTTATACATGGTTTCAGCACCTGATCTCCAGCAAGGAGAGTACAACAAGAGCTGGGAAGCAGTGAGAAAAGCAAAAAGTCCTGCAGATTTGGCTCTGTTYGCTCACTCAAGATAAAAGAAAATGGCAGAGAGAAAAAAAACAAACARCAAAGACATGGAAGAGCTGTATTGTAGAATTAGTGCAAGCAACAGAACATGCACAATGGACATCAGGGACAAGGAGACAACACGGAAAGCAGAGAACAAGAAGAGGCAGGAAGAAACAAATAACACTCAGTGTGAGATTCTGGTCTGTGACACCTTGGTAAAGCACATCAACATAGACCATGACAGGATTTCACCTTCAGTACTTTAAATTAATCTGTATCTAGTTTCTGTTCTAACGTGGCTGGTCCAAAGGCCGGGCTGGAGGCTTTCCAACTTGTAGGCAGTAGGGAAAGGAAAAAAAAAAAAAAAACCCAAACAAGAAGTCTCTACTTTCCTCCCTTCAAAGACACAAAAGCAAAGAGGATGACATTTCCCACAGGAGCTGAGCAAAGCAGAGGCAAACACTGAAGGTCATTACAGCACTAAGGAGGTGAGCCCCTGACACAGTCAGACAGGAAAGTGGTGCAGAGGCTGCGGTAATAGGCAGGGTACACCCGCATGTGGCTGACATGAGCTGAATCCTTGAAGTCCACAGCTTTCACAGGGACACCGAGCTGCTGCCGGGCATCAGCCATGTGCTGAATCTCGCCGGCCCTGATGATGAGGTCGGCCTGGGAATAGAGGTAGAGCTCGGGCCAGCGCGAGGGCGCGCTCAGCAGGGCATCGTAATGGGTCTCGTGGAGGCAGCGGGTCAGGGGGTACAGCAGGATCCGCAGCACCACGGCCGCGCTGGCAAAAGTGAACAGCAGGAAATACTTGAGCAGCACGTTCATGGAGTCCAAGATAGTGGCCAGGGCACGAAGGCCTCCTCTCAAGTTTCTTCTGCCAGGGGCGCTATCGAAAATGGTGCCGGCTATTCTGAGGCTCTTAAACGGCCTGTGGGTGTGGAGAGCCTCGACGATGTAACGGTACAGCATGACACCACCATTGCTGAAAACATGGAAAAGAATCGGTCTGTTTTCAATGCTGTGGTCAAAGAGCAGCTCCAGGAGTTGCCTGGCTGGGGTCTGCAGGGATCGGATGCCAAAGCTCTCAGCGAAGAATATCATCCTCCATGGAGCCGTGTAACGGATGACGGTGCACCCCTAGGAACAACAGAAAGAGACSCCACACACATTCAGGCTGTGTTGCAAATTACAGAGAGTAGGCAAGCAGCAGTACAAAGAATATGAAAATTTGGGACAGGTTTCCAACAGAAACCACAGGGCCAGAAGGAAGTCTTTAATGTCAGCAGCAAGGCACTGACACAGACATGATTATATTGATCATAATAACACACAGTATTATTACAGTATTAAACCATCTCTGCAGTGGCAGAGACCTGGCTTAGGTCATGTCTGGGATCCCTTCAAATCTTGTGCTAACCCTTGGGGACAACCCTTGGGGACACTGCCACCCACTTTTATGAGTGTTAATCCTCACCCAGGAGGAGAAAACCATCTCCCTGGTGCACACACCTTCAGTATCAGGTTTTGGTAAGAGTAGCCTGCTGTAGTACATATCCAGCTCATGGCACTGAAGCACATATAAGAAGGAAGAGAAAGTTCCTCCTCTCCTTGGGTAGCACTTGTTTGCAGCTGTCTCTGACTCACCTCCATCCAACACTGAYATGATTTTTGTAAACCTTCCTGAAACACTCCAGCTGTGCAAAGGAAGAACTCTGGCWCAAGGACTCAGAACTCCTGAGCAGCTGCCTTTACACTCAAGGCCTGACATTTAGGTATAGACTTGGAAACAGGATCTTAGAGGAGTTTAAAAATAGAGCAGATGGAACTACATTTATAAATTCTTTAGATCTTTTCTATCACCTGAGCTCACTGATGTTACACTGACAAACACAAGGCAAAGTCACCAAAACAACCCCCCAGAGCTACCTAAACAGTGAATGAGGAAGAGAGGATACCAAGTTCTCAAATCAAAGCCTTCTCTAYCATCTTGCCGTGGTTACAGCCACTTCCCCTTGGTGAGTTAAGAAAATCCATCATCTCCTTTTCTATTTCTATGATCTYTCTGAGAGAAAAGTATTTGCCAAGGAGTTGTCACGCTGCCCTGTAACGTGCTCCTCATCTGCTCAGCAGCATCTTAAAGTCMCTTAAGAACTAATTCTTCAGTAGATCAATCCAATTAACGACGCTTGCACTGGATTACACATTAACAATAGACTTGTTAATGTACAAACTTTACAGTTGGAAYAGATTTGGATAAATACAAGATTCCTTGTATGCTGACCAAGAAAAAAAAAATCTAATGTTTTATTGGGTCCTCATGCTACAAGCTGGGGTCACGCCAGTAAAATGCAGTATTAGAAAGGAAAATATCATAACTTAGGGAACTGGCAGTAAGACAGATCTCTCTAGTTCAAACACAAGGAATTCCTAGTGAGCAGCTATGACTATCACAGGATGCCTGTTCCACAGACAGGATAAAATTAATTTGCTTACAACATTTAGATGAATCATTTTCACAGGAAGGAAGGGCCAAAGGCACAACAGATGCCAATGTGTTCTGTCAGTTCCCACCCTAGCCTCACCGAGTCTGTGCTGTGGCCTAACAGCAAGCAGTAAACACAGGATCTTTCCCTGTCTATTTACCTGCCTGGAAAACAAACACAGTTCACGTCATTCCTGAATAATCCTGCAACTTTAAAAGCCTTAAAATACTTCAGTGAGCCACACAGCAGCTGAAAGTTTCTCCAAGGAAGTATTTCTGTCTTAGCTGCACACACAGAGGTGACATCAGCAGCTGTTAGATAACACTATCTAGTGTTAGCAAGACAAGGAGCTTTCAATGACAGCAGAACTCTCACTCACTCCCCATGACTCTGCAGACTAAGAAAAGCTTCAGAGAGACTTTATCAACGCGCAGAAAAACGGCAGCTTCACAGTATGGCAGCGTCATGAAAATACAGACAAGGTACTCACCTTCTGGCTGTAGATTGCACTGTATTTGGCCAGGTATCTGTCCTGGCAACCGGCCCAGCCCAGGAGGATCACCACAGGCTGGCCCTCGGCAGGCCCTCCCTCCGTGCTGCCTTCTGAAACAAATCACAAATGTTGCAGCAGCTGCCCTCCGGTCTGCCCGAGGCAGAACTTAGAGCAACCTGTCTGGTGAGTAAAGTTTAAAAGCAATAGAGAAGAATAAGCTCGATTTCTCGGTCAGTTACGAGTGTTGCCTCASGCCGGTTTCACTCCAGCACAGCTTCAGCCCCCGCAGTTCCCACCGCTCTCCGGTGACACAGAGCCAGCACCGAACTGACCGATCCCTACGGTGGGCGAGACCGCTCCTGCAGCCTTCCGGACAGCTGCTGCTGCCACCTCCACGGGGAAAAGGGAATCGTCCTGCCCTGTCCTCCAGGCACTGCCAGACACCTGCAAGAGCACCRACACCCCACGGCTCTTCCTCCCATACCCCAGCCCGCTCCCTACTTCTTCGCCCGCAGAGGTGCCCCAGTCCCTGCTGTCACTGGTGTCCCCCGTCCCGCTCGCCTCCGCACCGCGGGTCTCTCCTGGTCCCTGTCCCGGTCCCGGCTCCGGCTCCGGCTCCGGCTCCAGCTCCACCACAGCCGCCTTCAGCCTGCGGGTGCCCATGGCCGCGCTCCCGCATCGGCCGCTGCTTCCGGCCTCCCCGCCGGAAGCTCCGCCCACCCCCCGCCCGCAGCCAATGGGAARGGGAGGTTCCCACCCCGCCTCACCGCGCGCCCCGCCCCTTTCCCGCCCCCCACTTCCTTAGCAACGCGCCCTTAGCAGCGGCCCGGCGCCCCGCCCACTGAGCACCCATTGGGCAGGGGCGGAATGGAGGGCAGCGATTGGTTTGGCTGCGTGTCAATCATTGTGCGGGTAACCGCCCCCTCGGGGCTGAGGCGGGAGTGAGGGGCTGAGGCGGGAGTGAGGGGCTGAGGCGGGAGTGAGGGACTGACGCGGGAGTGAGGGGCTGAGGCGGGAGTGAGGGACTGAGGCGGGAGTGAGGGACTGAGGCGGGCGGGGGTCGCAGGGCGGGATGAAGGGAATTGTAGGGCCTGACCTGGGGACTGCAGTCACGGAGACCGAGGGATAGGGCGGGAGCGAGGGCTGAGCGGGGTTGCTGGTCCTGAGCTGAGTGTTTGTGTCAGGAGGGTGACGATGGCTGGGCAGATGAGTCAGGGAATGTGTAATGGACTGTAGGGCCTGGAGTGGGTTTGGGTGTGAGGGAGCACAGGGCCTGTGGTTGGGCTGTGGGATGGTGGTCTGGGGCAGGGAATGCTGAGGCTGGAGTGGATCAGACAGGGCAGGGGCTGGCYGGGGGTGAGGCAGTGCAGGGGTGGATTTGGGGCTGTGGCTGCCTTAGCAATGGGGCTGGGAGGCAGGACATGGGGGTGAGAGAGGGGCCAGCTGGACTGTGGGTTGAGAGGCTGGGTAAATTGCACTGAGGAAGGTGCACTGGGCATGGGAGGACTTCASGTGTGCCAGGAAAGGGTGAAACCCGTCAGGGAAACAAGCTCTAAGTCCTGCTTGAGGCTGGGCACAACCTTGATGATGCAAGATGCAAAGGTAACACCAAATCACTGCCGCTGTGTCCTTCCACGAGTCCAAGGCTATCGTTCCCTAGCACCTCGGTCTGCAGCTAAAGCAGCACCAATCTGCCTTTTGATCTCAGTCTGATGATTTAGCAGTATTTGGATGTAAAGAACTGCTGAATTGCCAGAGCCAGTTCCTAAATCACTGGGTTTTTTCTTGGCAGGAATAAAGCCCTGCCCTGACCCAGCCTTGTTTTGATTATTAGGTCCAGTGGACTGGGTGGCAGCCCAGAGCTGTTGACAGCAGAGTTTGAAGCCAACAACCAGGAGTTACATGCTGATTATAGCRCTGACAAATGATTCAGGCAAGTCATTAAACTTCCCTGTGTCTGTATGTTACCATATGTAAAACGGTCATAATAAAAACAYTAATGTACATTTTCAGGGTAYKTTGCAATGTCGACCTRAARACTCCTAKGTCAGCAGCCAGAGACAGACATCACTGTATCCTCTGAAGCCATGTCATCAYTGTTTCAAACTTCCTTTTTTGCCATTGATTCGTAGGCAAGCCATTTKTATTACTAAAATCCTCACGTCCAGAGGCTGATGCTGGTATTTCTGAGTAGTGGGGGGTTACTGCGGCTTTATAATAAAAATGGGAGAGCATTACACCACCAGCATCTTAAACATAAATAGGGAAACGTTAATTTAGAATCAATTTTGGGATGTTTCAGACTGTAAAGTTCTTTTAACTAGATCTCTGTTGAGGACAGAGGAGCACTTTATGGGACTGTAAATTTCATGCAAACAGTCTCTGTGAAATACAGATTCCCCCTACACACGAGCTGTTCTCTCAATATCAATCATRTGCCTTGTAAGTAATGTTTCACAAATATTCTGTAAATCACAGGAAAATGCTTGCAATAATGTGAAATATGACTTTCACTTGACTGTTTCAGCAGAGGCCCCTAACAGGCCATTCTCCTGTCAGCACTAACATTTGTTATGGCTAATAACATTTTCAATCACAACTATTTTGGGAAAATGGATTTATTTTAAACCTGCTTCCCTGCAAAGGAGGTCCTGAAAATGTCCTGCCAAGGACACAGATGCCTTACAGAACACAGACCRTTAATTCCCAAATGAAATTTCATCTCATCTTAATTYTCAARCATTGTTTATTAGCCAGCTTTTTGAAGACTTTACTTGTTTGTTTTTAGGCAYTGAAATATGTGTTCATATCTTGGGCATTATTTTCAGTCTGGTTCRGGTAATAGGAGTAGAAAGTTACTTTTGAGCAGGTATCTTGGGGATATTTRGGAATGGATTTTGATTTTGCTCCAGATACTAGGAGAAAAGGCTTAAGAACTTTATAGATAGGAAACTGGTAATCTTGATGATTTGTATTAAATTGAAAGAAACTTCTTATCCTGAAAAATGAAGATTTTGTGTCATTTTAACTCTTTTTTTTTCATAAACCACACATAAATAAAACTTCAAATGGTGCTTTTGTTAGGTAGGAAGTCCAAGAAGTACATTAAACAAGGTGTGAATTCCTTTCTTCGGTATGCTGATACAGCCTGGTGGAGGACAAGGCACCTGTGTTAATGCTGCTGTTTGTGACCTTATCCATCCTTCTGCATCTGTGTATGGACACAGATCCTGGTGTTAACTGCAAGGCTCCTTGAGAGTGTCAGTGTCCTCCAGCTGAACACATGCACGGCTGTGGGGCTGACACACAAATGGAGAGTGTAATCCCTGACATTTCATCTCCTTACTAAGTGCACCTTCACATTTGTCAAGCTGTAGTAGAGGATATCATACTGAGCCAAAAGTGTGCCAAAGAAACTTGGCAAAATGTAGATTTCTTTATTTAAGACCTGTGTGAAGGGATGGAAGAACTTGCAGAAAAGAGATGTTTCTGGAGCTTGTGTCTTCTTCCCTATAGCTCTTATCATTTCAGCTTTTCTTAGCTTGTTTAAAAAGATGCCACGAAAATCAGATACAGAAAATACAGAGCAAATGTCTGTCATASTAAAGGATGCCAAAGCACTTTCCCACTGCCAAGGCCAGGCACMCATTCCTGCAGTGGATGTGGGCCCAGTCCAAATGGCTGTCATTCCAGCATGTGAGTGAGGGCTGTGCTGCTGTGCTAACAGGCATTTATAGCCCCCTTGACCCTGTCACTCCCCATAAATCCATACCTATTTCTGCTCTCATTTCACTCTATTTATTCCCTGGCAGGTCAGATATGAGATGCAGTGTTCATATCATGAGGCTAGTGAGAAACAGGGTTGGGGTAATGGGTAACATCAAAATGACTTTATTAGCAGAGCAGAGAAGAGAGCTCCTGTGGTGAAACCGCCTGCCCTGGAAAATAATCTCAAGTCTGTCACAGATTCATTGTGCAGCTCCAGACATACCAGGAACTCTMTTTTTGCCCCAGTTTTCCTATCTATGAAATGAGTATAAGGGAAAATGAGATTAAAGTAATGGTTAGAAAATGCTTTAAATATTATTTGCAAGAGATTTTAAATGTGATTCTGGTGGTAATTCATTAGTACAGTCTTTCTTCATGACTTTTGTAATCTTCTTTCTCATTTTTCTCAAGGCAGAAGAGACCATAACATCTGTCAAAGAGCAAGAAGCCATTAGCCATCATGGTTTTCTTGCAGGAATGAGATAGTGCATACAAAGTTGCTCAAAGTTGCATCCTAGACAGCTTCATTAAAARGAAGGAACCAGAGCTGGAGCTGGAGTTCAGGGGGAACCAGCTTGTTTGGCTCCCCTAACAGTGTGGCTCACAGTGATGCATCTGTTTCTTTGGACAGCTGGAGGTGCTGTGTGGGAGTCGGACAGAGAGGATTGGGCAAGTTCTCTACTGAAAATTTGTTTGAAGAATAAGCTTTTTAAAAGAGATATCCACATCAAGCTACATTCTGCACGTTTAAAAAACAACCTGGCTATCAAAAGATGGAGCTGAAGGGAAAACCATGTAACCCATCATTCAGGAACCTAGATTCACTGTTTTTTCTCACATTCGGATGAGTGTGCTGCCTCTGCCTGCCTGTAAGGGGACATCCATGCTCTTCTGCAGAGACAGTGCCTGGTTGTTCAGACCTCTACCCACTGCACTGAGATGGGAAGTGATGGCTCCCAGGACATTGCATGCTGGCAGAGGAAAATGGGCTCCAAGGCAAGTGACACTTCTGGCCTTGTTCCCCCTGTTCTTGCAGCCTTGCAGCCACAGATACCTTACTGAATTTCTGGACATTGCAGGTGTCTTGATTCTTCTGGAAACACTGAGTCTGAACCACCTGAAAGAGGAGTGCAAAAGAGAGTCTGTAAAGCTGTTGTCTCTCACTGGAGACACTGACTGAAGGAGCTGATTTGTGAAAGCTATGGTAGGCAGCATGTCCATTTGTGCTTTGTCCTGATTCAGGCGAGGATGTTCTGCCTGACCTTTGGTCCTTGGAGCTGCTTGCTGCACCAAACCATCCTTTCCCTCTGCCTGTGGATGGCAGATCCAACAGCGCTGCTCTGGCTGGAAGGAGTTCAGTCTCAGCTATTGTTGAGCAGTTGCATTCATCCCCTCTCATTTTTTTACAAGCTCATTTTCTTCACAGTCATTTTGGTGCAATATTGCTGCCTTGCTGGTTGCAATGCCTCCTGTTAAAACCACAAAAGTTTCCATCCTTACCTGCAGCATCCACCTACTGCAAACTCTCCCAGAGTTCCTCCARGCTTTGTAGCTTGTATCTTTTGAAAGAGCATTACAACATGGGTAGTGGAAGCCAAACCCTACTAGTTCTGTGTTGAGAGTACATTCTCAAAGGTCATGGGGTGATACATGCTGTCACAGCTTCCTCCAAGAGAGCCAAAGCAGCAGGCTCAGTAGTGGGATTTTTAGCAGCTCTGCTGGTCTRCCAGTGCCAGGCTCCGCTTCTCTGAATGCCCACAGAAGGGCTTTCCTTGGCCACTTACTCCAGCTGAGCATTTTGCCAACTGGTTTTCTGATTGTGGCTCCTGACAAGGACAGGATTTTTCTCCTGGCTGTCTGAGCCACACTTCAAGTGGGATGCAGTACTGAGTTCTCTCAGGATGACAGGGAAACGGTTGAGACAGCTGATCCAGGCTCATCCAGACACACAAATTAGCATCTTTTTCACTGCACAGGGGTGCAAGCCCTCACCAAGTTCTTGAATGCCTCCAACTCAGCAGAAGGTCAAAGAGATGCATAAGTTCTGCTCAATTGTTCGGGCTGAAGCAATCCCAAGTACCAGAGCCAAGATTCCCGAGGCCTTGTAGCYGTGCTGCTGTGTCCCTCCCCSCAGGCCCAGCCCKGGCTCTGTAGATGCTCGGGGTCATGCAGGTGGGGAGTGGGCCTTGCTGGGGACAATGGGCAGTGTTACCATCCATGTTCATCCCTGCTCAGGCAGGAGCTGTGCCTGTCTCCTTGGCATTGGGGCTGCWCTGGATAGCCCTGCTGCCTGAAASAKAACAGCCTGGAGAACTATGTGAAGACTTTCCCTATCACTGCGCCCAGGATATGATGGGAGAAGTGCCCTGTGTGCTCATGGAGCCCATGCTGGGTGTAATACACCCGGACTCCAGTCCAAAGGTAGGATGTGTCTACCTGCCCTGGGCAGTCTGGGGCAGGCTGTAGCTGGGGCTAGCCTGGGTCAGTGTGCTGGGGGCGAAGGGCAGGCACGGAGGTCTCGGCCGTGCATCCCTAACATCCCGATCCTGCTTGGCTGCGGCCGATACGGGGCCGGTCGGGGATGGGAGCGCTATTAGTATTCAGGRTAATTTGCATACCCAGGGTGCMCCGCGCGGCGGAGCTSCACACACGRTAAAGTTCGGACCGCTACTGCCCGGGACCGCTGGTCCGCTACGAGACCGAGCTCTGGGGGCTGCGGGGGAAAGGGGACGGGGCAGCAGAGGGGCGAACCTGGGTACAGCCGGGATCGCCCTATCCTTAGAAGGGACAGCCATGGATGCGTGGCTGCCGAAGGGAAAGTTAAGTATACTCTGGTTTCTCTTCAGATCGTATAAATCTTTCGCCTTTTACTAAAGATTTCCGTGGAGAGGAACAGGCACGAGTGTCGATGAATTTTTTGAGGCTCCACTTCGGTGGAGCTATCCCTAATATGGTTAAAAAATAGAACTAACATATATATGCGCTTAAGTGGAAAAGTGTCTTTATAGGATTGCAAATACAAGCGCAGCCTTCTGTAAGTTTTAGGCTTTAGAGGCCGTGACAGAGGGAGACTCAGGCCCGTCTACCGGCAGCACAGACTCCTCGATTTTGAGTCCGTCGCATCGCTCCTCCCCCCAGCAGGGCGGCCGCTTCATTACCCTTGTCTGGTCAGAAGATGGGCGATGACGGGACGGGGTTCGGGCAACCCCTTCTCCCRGCCCGGGCGATGCAGTGGAGCTGCTGCGTGCCGGCGGTTCGGGTTCCGGGAGAAGCGGCAGCCGGGCACCTGCCCGGCAATCCCGGGCACTCCAGTCCCGCACGGGGGAATAGGAACGGTGTTGGTGCCCGGCCGAAGCTCAGCACCATGCGCGGGGCCCTACCGCGATCCCACTCGCTGTCCAGCTCCGGTCTGTGGCGGCGGCGGGGGCGTACGGTGGCCTTTTTGGGAGCCTTCCTTGTTCACGCCCACTCGGTTTGTCCCAAGCAGCCMCACTCCGCTCCGCCCGCCCTGGCAGGAGGGCAGGAAGCACCGGGCTCCGTCGGGCGGGCAGCATCCTCCGCTTGGTGTGATCGGCATATTTCGGCATGCAATGTGGACAGCGCAGGGCCGGCTCCGCAGAGCGCGGCCGCTCCGAGCTGCGGGCCCGCCGGGCGGTGGTACCGGCCGGGGGCTGATGACGAGCCGGGTCAGGCTCCGGGAGGAGTGGGAGGTAGGGGGAGGAACTGAGTGAGGATCGCCGTGACTGCTGGGGCAGCAGCCGGGAATGGGTGAAATAGGTTCTTACTCTGGTTTCTCTTCAGATCGTATAAATCTTTCGCCTTTTACTAAAGATTTCGGAGGAGAGGAACAAATCCGAGTTTTAAGAATTTTTTTGAGGCTCCATTTCGGTGGAGCTGTCTTTGTTTTGGTTAATGAAAGAGCGAGCATTGGGGASGGGATGGGGGATAGGTGGTTATTGAGTCACGATACTGAAGTGCGGGATTGGGGAATATAGGCGATCTCTCGCGGTTTAGCCCGTGCGGATAAGGAATCTGCTAAGCACTGGTGTCAGCCGTACCAACTCGCCCCGCCCATCCGCACCGCCGTTTCTCCTCATTACCGGCAGCTCCTTACCGGGCTGATTTGCATACCCAGGGTGCTCTGCGGCCCCGCCGGTGTCCGGTGATGAGGCCGGTGCTTTGCCCGGGCTGTGGGAGGTGTCCGGTGTGTGCGCAGCGCCGGGCCGGACCGAGCCAGGCCGGGGCCGGGAGCAGCGGGAGTTCGGAGCGTCGCCATGACTTGCGGGGTGTGGAGCGGATGGCGGCTATGTCGGGGAGMGATGKCGAARGTATACTCTGGTTTCTCTTCAGATCGTATAAATCTTTCGCCTTTTACTAAAGATTTCCGTGGAGAGGAACAGGCACGAGTGTCAATGAATTTTTTGAGGCTCTACTTCGGTAGAGCTATCTTTGCCGTGGTTAAAAATAGAATCAAAAAGYTAGATAGATAATGAGGGGTAGTGCAGGTTTTGCAGCGGTTGTCTCTTCGTACTGGATTGATAACCAAGGGGTGAGTGTAGTCCAAGGCCCTGGGGTGACCAATAGGTTCTTTCACCCAGGGGTTGTCATCGAGGGGTGCAGCAGCACGGGCTGCTTGGGTTGAGGAGGGATTGCCTGCATCACTAACGCTACCCTGCAGGCCTCCAGGGATGTGCTGAATGCTGCTGGGTGATGATAATGAACAGTTCCAGTGCCGGGTGTTTCCTGTCCTACTTCAGCAGTGCAGGCCACAGTGGCCCAGGCTGCCTGAGCTGTGCATAGATCATGATATGTAGCCACGTTTCCTGGAAAAGTACACCCATCCTCTTTTGATGCTAGCAGTGTAACTCCACCTCTGACATCTTAGAAGTGTATCACARCATCATTCTCTACTTACTAATGGTGCTCATACAGACAGCCACATTCGGGCTAAGAGATCCTTTGCTGGTGTGTGTTTAACAGGCAGCTGCCACAAAAGTCAYTGCAAAACTGCAGGAGAATCTACAGGATCATAAAAAGGACTTTAGAAAAGTGGCATGTTGCTCCCAGGGAAGATTTACCCATTCACATCTGGCACTGCTGAGTATCCCAGCTCTGCCAAGTCTCCAGCCTAAGCTGGTTGGAGAGGGGCATGTTCAGGAATGGGTAGTCACTGCCTGCAGGTAGCAGTGCTCAGACTCTMCCTCCTACTGCCACCAGAGCTGGCTTGAAGCTTTATTTATATGGAGATGTGAAATCTGCTCTGACTCACCCTTGGTGGCTGGGCCTGGAAGGAATGTATATCCTGCATCAGGCTGATGGCTTGCTCATGGCCACTGAATTCTCCACATAGCTGGGAGCATCAGCCAACAACGAAACACCCTTTTTATAACATCAGCCACCTCCTGGAAAACCRAGTGCCTATGATTGACTGCAGAATCTTTAATGAAATTCACCCAATTTGCCACATAWTTGTTTCATTCAGTATGAATTTCCTGCAGTGTCCACAAGATAGTGCTGTCAGAACACTTTTTCCACAAAAGCAGATGACAGAAAATGCTTGGTGAGTAGAGAGGCAAACCTRTCATGGTTTTCAGTGACATGCTCTCAGAAGTAAGGGTGGTGATGTTTGAGTCCAWGGTTCTTTACAGTCAGAAGAAACTTGCCAGACTTGAATATAAACCAGGAAGCTCCCACTGATCATTAAACAGTAAGCCCCAGTGTTAAATGATAATCCATTCACAGCTGAACATTTGTTTATTTTGGGATTCTCTTGTCTGTTGGTGCTATGAAGGCAGGACAGAAACAGAGTATTTTCCATTGGGATTGCATGAAGAGGCCCAGACTCAAGTCATTGTGTGCTTCTTCCCCCATCCAGGGTAGGGACTCCGAGCCTGCAGCTCAGGTCTCTACCTTCTAGGGTGGATATATGGAAAAAAGGAAATGTTAGGTCCACAGAGGGAAGGTAATGGGCAATACTTTGTTCCTTGCACTGGGAAAAGCTGGATAATCCAAGAGTGCTAACACCTGAAGGGGAACAGGATTGTCTTGCTTTTTCTCCAGATTTAGTAGGGCAGAACAGCCTTTTTTACTCTGGATGCACCATCTTASTATGGTGCAGGCAGAGCCCAAGGCAAAGTGAGTTTGACAGTTCAGAAACCCTTAGTGTGCTCAGCCCCACACTATTCCCAGAGCCTAAACTGTTGATCACAAAGTGCCCCAGATGTCTGGGTTGAAGTATCCCTTCTTTAGCTGCTTGTGACTAATGTTTGTTCACATYCCTCAAAGATCCCTAACTCTGTTTTTGTCTTTTCCAGGCCAGACCTGAAACATGGCACACAAAAAATGATCCAAGTCCGGGCTGAATAACTGGCCTCCAATATAGTTGACATCCCCAGACACACAGCAAGGATGCAGTCCACAGAAGGCAGGTGCAGAGCTGGAGGACACTGTCACTTAAACTACACCCTTGACYTTCAGAGGGCGAAGGTAGCTCTAAGAAAAGAAGGAATAGTGGTWGAAGGATCCCTTTGTGATCTGATCTTTGCATAGCGGCATCCTGTGTTGCTGAACCTAGGATTAGACCACAGGACTACTTTGTGCTTTCCAAGACAAACCCTGAACTGAGCTAAGCAAATGAGAAAAAGCAGGCACCAGTACATGCCTCACAACAGTTCCTCCCCTAAACTGCTCTTTACAAGAAGACAGGGTGTGTAGGGCAACCAGGACAGAGGTTGCACACAAGGCCATGGCAGCACATTACTACACCTAAGACAGCTTCCTCCATGTCAGACAGGTTCTACCCAGCAGAATCTCAAAATTAAGAGACAAAACTTATTATGAGTGGCTTTTATGTAAACATTACAAGAATAAAGAAACTTCATCTAAAAAAAATCAGCCTCCCTATCAACAACCAACTGGTCTTTAGGAGCTGTTACCAAAATCAGCAAGAAATACTTTTTGTAGGACAGATAAGATAATTATATCCAAGAACATTTATTTATTCAACATCTTAAAATACTGGTTTTTACAATCACATAGTCCATTTTCTTTCTAGAAAAGCAAAACTTGCAAAGGTTTTGCAGTGTTTCAAGCACATCTGGAAAAGATTAGACTGTACATGTGTATTCAGTTCTGTTTGGGAAGACCACTGTCACTAGCAAAGGGCCAGATGCCAGACATCTCAGGCAGCGACTGAGATGCAGACTCTCAGGCCCCTACCCAAGTCTTGCAGTGGGTGCATTTTAGCACTTTGCTGAGTACCCTGATACAGGCCATGGAGAAAAAGGCTGCTGTGTTCACTGCCCCTGGGCACATGCAGCCTGCAGACACCCTACCACATTTAAAACAGGAATGATACAAACCACTGACAAACATGCAAGAGAAGACAAGTGCATGCAAAATTGCTTGTGAACCAGATTTTGCTGTAATAACTAAGGCCTCTGCCGGTTTATCTGTTTGCTGGCTTGCTCCTCCAGTTGCATGGCAGTCCCCAGGGCATCCAGTGTTTCTGTAAAAGAAGGTAAGAATAATAGGGTGATTGACCTGGAAGCTGAAATCTCCAGCTCAGCTGTCCCTCTCAATAGACCTCAGAGCCAGACAGGACTGGCTGCTCAAACCCCCATAGGTGTGCTGGTGTAACTTTTGGGTCTTTGGGAAGGCATTAGTGACAGTGCTAGTCAGAGACAGGGTCTAACATACCTCTGACACTGAGGAAATTTCTTGAGCTGTCTTCTACGAAGTACTTAGCTCKGCTCACAAAGGTCTCAAGATCATAGTCTGGTTTCTCTGTGATTCCCAAGAGGTAGTCCAGTTCAGTTGTCATTCTCTGTATTTACAAAGATAACAGTGATGAGAAATGGACTTTCTGGAAATTGAATTCGTTTCTTCAAAAGTGGCAGTCTAATCMACATAGCTGAGCTTTTACAGACCAGGAGCAGTCAGTGCTCATTAGCAACAAGTAGATACTGCTGTTTGAAGGGGAAAAAGAACTGGCAAAAGCTCTAGAATGCCCCAGTTTAACCAGTTGGGCCAGAAAACAAGGAAAATGTTGGCAGGGAGGAAAAAGTAACATCACTGTACAGCACCTACATTACAGCCTAGAGTCTGCCAAGCAGCACTTGGCTCAGACAAGATGAGCTGCTATCAACATGCAGCWGCCTGGGCTGGGTTTGCTGCTCCATACCTGTCTCAGTTCTCTGAGCTGTTCTACAACCTTCTCCTCCCGTTCACTAATTTGAGTCATAACCTCTCGATAGGTGAACATGTGGGGAGAGAGTTCTTCCTCCTCATCCTTGGAGAACTGCAAGAAACAGCCCAGGTAAGARSAGTAAGTTATTCCCAGCTTTGAGTTCTATTACATCCAGTGCACACACATACATTGTATTGAAGAGTTGAGCCTTCTCTGCTGGTCTCTGCTTCCTCAGTCTCCATCTGACTCTGTGTGTCACCAGCTCCATCATGAGGGCTGAGCTCTTTCACTCTGCGACAAGATTTGTCACTCAGATTATTCTTCAGTCAGTTTTTTGGCTACAGCATCACTAAACAGCTACTGCAATCAATCAGTGCTCATCAAAAAGGCAAGACCAGTTGCACTTAAAAAGTTGCATGACTACCATCCCCAGAACATGCTCATGTGGGCAGAATTCACTGAAGACTATAGGAAGGAAAACCAAGACATGTTTATGTTGAGGAAACTTTCCTGTCCATGCATCCAGGAATCACTCTGGCAGTCACACTCCCATCACTTGAGCTGGAACTGAAGTCCCATCACAGTGGGTGGCACATCTACTTCATACATAGTCCCTTAGGTCCGTGTGTGTGTGTGTGTGTGTCTATGCTACAGCAAATATACTGTGATGGTTGCTCTTTTAGATTCTTAAGTGTGTTGGATTTGTATGTAAGTTAGGCTTGTAAATTGTGCTTGTAGTAAATTCAATAGAATCTTAGGTTAAATTATTTAAATTAGGCTATGGATGAAGTGCARTTAAAACATTTAGGCCTAAACCATTAGTGACCTTGTGACTCAAGGGGAGGGTCTACCTSATTCCTTTTTATCCTTACCTTTTTTTTCTATCCTTACCACTTTTTCCAATTCCCCAGCTTCCAGGCAGATATTTTTAAGTTGATTTTTGATTGATTCCAAATTTTTCTCTGTGTGCTTCAACCACCCAATAAGTAGGACAGTGAACCTTGCCAACAATTCTTATCTTTCATTTAATTTTGAACCTGCTTTTGTCAATACCTTTGCCAGTGATTCTTTGTGTGACCTAAAACACTCATTCATGACACACAATCTTAGCACACCTTTACAGATGGGTCACAAAGTACTAAAAAGAGAAAGGCATGGAAGTAACCATTCAGGACAGGTAAACTCCCTACATAAACCAGGGCAGTCAAGTCTAGCATGAGAGGAGACTCCTCTGAGGAAAGGAAACATTACTCATGGGTTTTACRTCATCTCTGTTATGTCTCACACAGAACACCCAGGTTAGTTTCATATGACAGCGTTAAGGTACTTTGCTCCTAACAACCAACCTCCAGGTTGCCCACACAAACAATACAAGAGAAACTTGAGGTTCCAAAAGTCAGAGTAAAAGCAGATAAAACACCTTTTACAACAAGATTAAAATCTATGGGTCAAAAAGGCCATTACCTGTCAGCGTATCTCAGTGTGTTTAAGGTGTACTCACACGAACTCATGCCTGGAGAAATCATTGCTATCTGCAAACATAAAAGAAACCTTTGTGACTCCTATCTCACTTTTGCTCCTTAATGGTCTTACAGATCTCACCACACAGCTGGGACGTTTAAGGACAAAGGGTTGTARTTGAGACACTCAAGTCCATTTTTCTTTATGGATTTTGTGGGACATGCTAGCATCCCTGTATCCAAGTTTTCCACTGGCTTTGTGTGCACCTGCTGTGCCTCACCATCCACAGGAAGCAAGGCCCTTTGAGAGCACACCAGGCTCTCTTGCTGATCCACAGAGTGAAAAAGACTTCCACAGCCCTGTTTCTACCAACTGGGCATAAATCATCAATTTATTATCTCAGTCACCATGGGCAAGTTTCCATGAGAAAAATGTTGGGGTTTTTTGTTTTTGTTTTTTTTTTTTTACCAAAATCTGAAGCTTTCTGACTTCAAAACCCCCTCACTCTAGGGGAACATGCAGCTATTATAGAAATTATAGAACCTAAACATTGTGTTTGACATGTCCATACTCACCATACAAGTCCTTGAGTTTGCTCCTATGAAAGAGTCTCTTAGCACCTGGGTCAGCTTGCTCTCCCGAAAAGGGGTATGAGACTTGTTCTGCCCTAAAGCTCGGATGCACTCCTAAGAAAAGACAAGTTTTGTGAATGAAGTATCTGCATCTYTCTTCAAATAGTTGTGCAAGCTATMAATCACCARTTGCTGGTAAACCCAACAGGCTGAAGAACATTCACATCTATTGCTCCAAGTTCTTCATAGTCTTTAAAATATGCTCCAGGTATTTGACTGTCACAGGACAATAGGAATAGCCATCATATATAACAAACAAAAAAAACCCAAGGATAACTTGAATGAAGCTTGAAATAGATATACCAGTGTCTGGCCTGACAAGACTGCACTGCTTTCCTAGAAATATTCTAAATGGAAGTACACACTACTTTTAGGTTGCTCACATCCTAAACCAGTATTTTTTCAGTTGTTCTTTTTCCTTGTACTAGAAAGAAACAGAACAGATAACCCCAGAGTTGAATAGAATCCACACGTGGATTATCACTCTTTGCTCCCTGAGCTGTAGCTCACCTTCAAAGCCAGCAAGCTCTTATTGATTTCAGCACCTTCCATGCGTGTCTGCCGATCAGCATTAGATGTGTCTGCACCCCTTTCATTTCCTGCCAGATCCACCAAGGAAAATTTGCCAATCAGTTGTCCTCTTCGGCGCAGTATGATTTGGAAGCAGGCATGTGACCGTGAAGAGCTAGCATTTGCAAAGGTCTGCCCAGAYGTCCTACAGCAAAGATGCAAACAAGCCTTAGAACTGTGTCACAGAAGACAWCAGACAGCACTAGACAAGACCTGTAGCCATTTAATTAAGTTGTTTAACCTCCTAGAGTTTATCCCACACATTAATACTTCAAGTTTGTGTGGATTATGGAATTGCTTCTGATACAAAAGCACAGAACTGTGAAAATAAGAAGCTGCACCCGCTTTTAGAGATTTAAGGCTATTTAAGCTGCCTGGCACAAACTCAGCCAGCCTGCATTGGAATACCTTTCTAAGTACTGAAGCCTCACGTGCACTTGGAGCTGGAAGTCACACCTTGAGCATGSCACATGTCATTTTCCTAATGCATCTGCCATTACACAGAGCTCAGCCAAGCTCCCCACTAAACAGCATTAGCTGTGCTAGCACATTACAATCATGGTAAATCCCTTTCTCCAGCCAAGCTGGCTTGGCATTTCAYCTCTGCTGTGCAGCTACACTGCCCCATCACTGCAAGGCAGAGTGAGAGTGAYATCTTTTGATTTAAACCCCCCTGTGACCTTCACTGTCATTTATTCCCAGAGAATGGTGCCAGGTTCACTGTTCCACCCTCATTCCTTACTACAGGGGGAAAGGGAAGAAGCTCAACCTAATGCAAGACAGACTAAAATATTAATAGTTCATGACTAAATTGCCAGCCAAAAAAGGCTACACAGAATGCTGAATAAGCTTTTMGTATGTGCATATTTGCCCATACAGAAGCCAAGGACCTCTCATTTGCCTAGTATGTTTCTACAGCAGCTCCAACTTAACTGAAGAAGATTAGACTTGGTAATACAGATTTGAGCTCCCAATTAAAGACACCAGTATGATGACAGAGTTGCCCCTACTACAGCCTTTCCTGCCAGGATRATGTGCCAAGCTTACATCTGTCCCTTGGCACCTCCTTTCAAGGATTCTTTAGGCAAGATCCTGAACAACATGCAGCATTTTTGTTGCCATTGGAATAATTCATCTAGCCTGCAGTTAAGCCAAACCATTTTTRCAACTGTAGTTCATACCAGCTGCTGTTCTTTGATCTTACAAGCCCACAGGGAGCTACTTGTTTTCCTGTAAATTAGCTGATACTTCTAATAAGCATCAAGGCAGCCATCTCCTCATGTGAATGGTTTCTCATATTAGAGTTACATGAGACATATGAATGAGGAGCTCTGACATTCTCTATGAAAGACAGCATGAACCCACCCCTGCTAGTTTTTTGTTGAATAAYCACTTTCTGATATTCATGCAGAGGTGATGCTCAGTGCCTTTACTGGGAAGAACAAGGGTTTAAGTCTCTGTTTAAGTCTCAAAGCACCAGCTACGGACATCATACACGTTTTTCTAAACATGGAATGCAACAGAACATGATTCCTCTTATAGGTTTTAAGGCATCAAACCTGCAGGCACTGCCAATCGTGATCATTCTGATGACATCCTCAGCACAGCCAACTGGTCTCTCTTGGAGACCAACAACCTGGACCTGTTGCTTGCCATCCTCCAGGACTCGAAGCTTGGCCTTCTTATTCAAGAGGTCAAACACCTACATTTAGGCAACAAGATGAAGGCAAACCTGAACAAGGACTCCTTGTAAGTATTTTTCCTGTCTTTACACAAAGCTATCTAGAAACAGCACCTTTAACATAGACTTCCATTTCAATTCCAAACACACCAAGAACAACAGAATAGTAGAACTATGGAAAGTATTAAATTTGACTCAGGTTACTTATGAAATATTCAACCAAAGAAATCAGGTCAAAATTTAAAGTCTTACCTTTCCATTGTATATTTCAAAGAARGTCACATAGACTTCCAGATTCTGACTCCTGTACTTGGGCTGGTTTAGGAGGAGGAAGACATCTTGTGCTAATGAGGAAAGACAGAAGTTTAGTYAACTGATTTAAAACACATTCTATTTGCTACTTGATCTCCTTTCAAACACAGCACAGCTATAAGGCAGTGTCTTAGCACTGAGTGACAGTCATCCAAACAAATGCTAACAATCAGTGCTGTACTACATCTGGAGAACAGATTCAGCAGCATCCTTATCCAGGGACTGAAAACAGGAATATACAAGTTTCAACTGCTAATGTCACCCACAGACAACAATCCTTACTGCTCTGAAGGAACACTGGGATTTGCTATCGTTTTGGACAGGCCTGAAAAAGTCATGTGTTTGTATTTCAAGTGCATGTTGCAGAAAGTCTAGAAAACATGCATCCCCGAACATCTGCATTGCTGCGGTTTGGAGACAATATACCCGATTAGTTGACCCTGTGGCTGGATTCAGCACAGCTTTCCACAATCAGGCTTCAGAWTGTGAAGCAGAGCTGAAAAGCAAAGACTCCTTCAGAGCCAGTCCTAACTATTTTTCAGAGATCAGCCAACAGTTCTTTCTGGTTCAGCTGCCTTGCTGCACAGACTAGTTTCACACTGTGTCTTTCTAAAGGGAAGGCAAAGGTCAGGTTCCATGGTACTTTCCAGACATTCTATCAAGGAGGGGCTTCTAAGCATCTGTTTTCTGAAATAATTTTGTACATGCTAGGGTTTTCTTTTTGCATTTAAGGCTTATAGGGAGAAACACAACACATACATCCTTTTGCATGTTTTATATCACAAATGGGTAGAGTTGTGCTGTACTCATGTCTGAGACAAAAGCAAAGCAGAAGAATCAAAATTAAATTGTTCTGCCCAGAAAATGCTAAATTAGAAAATGTGTCATTTCTTTACATTGGAAGAAAGTATCTGCTGGTGAGTTTAGTATGGATGTAGAAGCTTACAGGCTAGAGGAAAAATATTCTGTRAAACAAAAAATAATCATACCTCCTGCAAACACCAGCTTTTATTACTGAAAACAAAGATACTTCATGTATCTTCTACTGGACATGTTTTAAATAACCATACAAAACCATACCTTATCTAATAAAGAAAAACAAGCTTTAATTTGATTTTTATAGCTACAGAAAAATCAACTTACAGGCAAAAGCATATATACCCTTTGAGGCATTCTGTGTTCTCCCTGAGAAGTCTCCACCCATAGTCTGTGAAGAGAAAAGGCCAGAAGTCAGCCATGGCACTAGCWAGTCAGCCTATCTGATCTTAGTCCCAAAAACAGACTAGGAAGTTACTACAGATAAGCCCCAGTGCCAGCAAGATTACTGGAACACAATGCTAAATTAGTTTTGCAGCTTCCCTATCAATTCAGAAAGAAGATCTGGCCTACACAAAGCAACAGTTCAATATCTGTAAGGCTCTGGGATGCAGAATCAAAAGAGTTGTTCCTACAAGGAACATGCATGGCTTAGACAGTGCAACTCAAAAGAGACAAAGCTTCATTTGTTAARATGTAGGTTGATTAACATTTTTGCTGCTACTTGCAAAAGTTAACATGACATGAAAATGCAAATTTAGAGCAGACAGTACCTTTAACTCCTTTGACCAAAGTATCTTTAATCACAACTAAATTTTCAGTTAGTACTATCCTAACAGAACAGGACAGCACATTTGACTCCATTGTCATACTGTGAGGATTCTTCCCCATAGTTCCCAGAAGAAGAAAGYTAAAGACAACACAGCTGTGGAAAATTTAGAGCAAGCTTTCTGTTTTGAGGCAGAAAACAWCTTTCTCAACTCTCAGACTAGAAGGAGTGGTTAGAAATCAAACTTGCCCACTTCACAAACAATACCAGATCACTTAAATATTTATGTGCATTATTCATATATAATTGCTGAAGTCTTTGGAATGCCTCCAAGSTCAGATAGACAGTAACCTTTGTCTCAGATGTAGGCTAATAGCCCCATTTTACAGACAGGGATTAAACAGCAATAGGCATTCGAGGCAAGGAATAGCCATGACTAAAACTGACATATCAGGACACCCTAAATCTTTGAAAATGGGGGATTTTAGTACAATTTTCCTCACAATCTAAAAGGAAACCCATTAGTACATAAAGCTACAGGAAAAGAGTTAACATCTTATGAAGTATTAGCTTTAAGACAATAAAACCAAGATCTAGACTTTTAAACGATCATGCTCAAACATCAGGGAGCTTTAAAATAACAAAGCTAGAAAATTTGAGACCTTGGGGAAAAACTTACATGTGTCTTGCCACTGCCTGTCTGCCCATACGCAAAGCACGTTGCCTTCCCACCCTCAAAGATGGTCTCTACAAGAGGTCTAGCAGTGAATCTGAATATTCAAAAAATAAAAAAATAGTTAAGGCACATATTTCACACCCTTCTTTATCATCATCAGTTTTAACAAGAACAAAAAAAAAAAACAAATAAAAGCAAATCCTTAGGCAATCAGCACGGCTATGCCAAAAAGAAGCTTTAGACTTTTCAGTCCTTTGGCTTCCTCCACAAAGGATTTTAATACTTATTTCAAGTAGGAGTTTCTTTAAGCTATGATGCCATCGAGCCATAACTTCATGCTTTTATCTGAAAGCCACTCCCAGTGAGCAGCAAGCATTACCTGTATACCATTTCATTTGAAGAGGTTTCATCAAATGAAAAGTCAAATCTAAATGTCTGGGTTTCAAGGTATTTTGTTAGGTCAACTTTCTGCTTTGGTTCATGCACCATTAGGACACACTTGCTTGGAACAGTAACCACATCACATTCCTTTTTTAGAAGTTCTGTTGGCAGAAAAGAACATCAGTTTTAACAAAAATGAACAAAGTCCAACTGTTCAAGACAGTTGTTTGGTCAATACACTCACCTTGCCTATTGAGAGGGCGCTTCCTCACACAGACACAAATCCTGTGCTCTTCTATCTAAAAGAAAAGAAAATAAGTAATTATTTCCCAATTACACTCAATTACAGAGAGAGCTGATGCTCCCTCACATCTGCTCTTCTAAATGCTGATCTATTTCAAATCACTTAACATATGACTTACTTGTATTAACATGTTCTGTAGCAGGGCAACAGTCCATTTTAAATTATAGCTATTCCTACAACAATGCCTCTGCCACTTACAAACTCTGAAAAACACTGATGGCCACATATCATTCATTGCATGATAATTGTTGAACCATAGGCTCTTCACTAGTGACACATGCRAAGTAAAACAAGGCAGCTTAGCCCTAAAAAGGGAAGGCAGGTGACCTCACAGATACCACCAGCTGCCTCAAGCTCACAATATGCTCAGAGGACTTCCAAGGTGCAGTGATGCACCAACTGCTTGATGACRACATTTTCAGTGCAAAATAGAGAAGTCTGTCTACAGGCTGCAGTTAGTAGCCTCAGTATTTACTTACTGGATCACTTATAGATAGTGGCTGGCAGTTTAAAGTTTCTCTGAATTCCTTGATCATACGTGCAAACTCCCAGTTTGGACAGGTGCTGTCAAACTCCTGCATGGAAAAACCATGGATATGTTCTGTTACAGCAAAAAAGGCCCCAGAACCTATTAAACAATAAGCTGTATGCAGTTAAAAGCATTTTACAAGATTCGGAACTTTCTGCAACCAGAATCAACCCATCCTTTTGTACAGCTTTATAAGAACAAAGCATGCAAAATAYATTTTGGTTTCAACTACTGTAGTCCAGTGTCCTATAGAATTTCCCCTTACAGGTGTGTTGYAGTGTACCCCACCTGCGCTCGTTTTATCCTGATTTCACTAATTTGAGCTCTCTTTTCTTCTCTCTTGTTTCTCATTTTCTCCATCTCTTTCACAATGTTAGATCTTCTCCGAACTAGATAAAATGAAAACAGTTCCTTGGATTAAATTTTCATACTTAGTTTAAGCACAAGACAAGTATTTCAGCTTTTCCAGGTTGCTGACAGACTAGATCATACAAGAAACAATCACCTTTAGAAGGATGGCCRTAATTTTGCAGCACTTCCTTCCCAAACCAGATCTAACTATCACAGAAACTGCCTTGGAAGTCACACTACCACCCTAAAGCCAAGGCAGCATTTYGAGGCAGTACCACTATAACAGAATTACACATTTGTAATAAAAATACTCAAGATACTCTGTCTTGCTGCCAAAGTCACCTTTTGAAAGCTTTAGTCTCGGAGTACACAAAGCAGCAATCACATAGTGATTCATTGCTGACTGATGAGTCAGTCTTTATCCACTGCTCCCTGGTACCTGGGCTCTCTGAAGAGCTCGTTCTAGCAGCAGGCAGATGATTCTCTGTATTTCCATTTACACTTGACAGTGAGGCTTCTGGAACACAACCCAGCCCGCTAGCCCTGGTTCGGCCAGCTGCAGAAAGAAGCCAGACCAAAACCAATAATTAGATCGCAAAGATCAAGAATAATTTTGTAATTTGTAAAGCCTCATTAGACCTCAGGCATTCCTCAACTCCTGCAGCAGAAAACAGAACTAGCTATAACCTCTGGTAAATGTGCAAGTAAACTTTTGAATCCTTGGCCAATCACCAACTTTTATTCAATGCTGCAAATCAAGGCCAAACCAACTAGACAAAAATTTAGTAGCCTCTTATTTCAGTGTTTTTATAGAACTTTGCATGCAAGACATGCCCTCAGCTATGGTAGCCTGGTAAAATGAATAACTACAATTTTGTAATTCAAAGAGGCTCAAATTCTTGCTTTACTCAACCAGTATAGGTAAAACTGCTACCAGTAAAGTTACAGGGTGTGTTTTGAGCTGTGTTAAGGCTCTTTTCTTCCCACTCTAGCCCCCTAGAATATCACTTTTTGCCATTAAGCAGACACCACATCCACCCAACATGCACAAACACAGCTCTCTGGTTAAGGAAGTATGACATTATGAACAACATTGTTTCCAAAGTCCTTTGGAAAACACCTCAGGTAGGAGCCCTGGATATTTGCATAGTGGCAGACCTCTAGGTCTCTCATTTTATCTATGAAAGAGTTCTGGTTGCTCTCCCCCTGGGATTTGCAGTTCGATAATCAAATGCACACAAAGTGAAAATTATTTCAGATTAAGAATTCACTGTGTTGTTTCTCCACTCACCAGAAAGTGACATATATTTTCTGGTTTGCAAAGAAGTGCAGGGATCTACTGCCATCTCATCTTCCGGGAGGCTGCACTGGGATTCTGTGACAGCAGACATCCGTGAACGGCCGCGAACAGCTTTGGAAAAGGAATCCAGAGACACTCAGACATTTGCAATTAATCAAGGGTTCACAAACTACAGAGCAGTGGAGAACAAGATGTGGTTAAAAGGATCTTTTCCATTAGCAAAATGCAGGACAAAGCAATGGATGTGGGTGAGAAGTGATCAACAAATACACCACTACAGAAAAGCAAACTGTTCATTCCAGATTTGCAATTCCAGTAAATTTCTTTCAGATACCACTAAGGATTCACATAAGGATATGGCAATTCCAGCACCATAATACTTAGGAAGGAGGAAGAACCAGACAGAGAACCAGTAAATCCTCTGAAGCTTCACACTTGCCAGGCTGGTATGAATTTACTCTTTGATGGTGACAAGGGCACTGCAGCCTGGCAATTGGCCATGGGCAGCATCGTGCCCACCCACCATGAGGGCACCCACAAACAGGCTGTGTGTGCTGCACAGTGGGCTGGGAGTTCCGTGGCACTACATTCAGCTGAAAGCCCCTGTATAATCACAACAGCAAATCTTTGGAAAAAGTCCCTTTGTAGGCAGGCTCCATTTTCACATGCCAAGGTATTTCTTTCACTGAGATCAAATCCTTTACAAAGCTTCCTAGGGGAAGGATTGGAATGTTTACCTCAATAGATTGGTTAAAAAAAAAAAAAGCAAATCTGATATGAAAAAAGTGTGATACATGATAGGCAAGCTGGAACTCCCTTCACCTCTCATGACTAGGAATTATTAGAATTTATCAAGAATGATCACTATTATTTCAAAGGACACCARATCTGTTGGAGACCAGGGGCTCATTTCAATTCTGAATCAAACTCCTTAGAACCACAACCCAAAAAAATTGAGTGCTCCTGTCTGTWAACGCTTTACCTTGAATCTTCTGCTCATGTGCAGAGACATTAGATGTGACTGCTGCAATTTTAGAAACAAAAAGTATCAGTTTCATTATACTCAGAAATGGCATTTTATTCCATTTTCTCTTGTCACACATGCCCAGACCTGATCTCATCTCACACTCAGCAGCATTGTTTCTATAATGCTGGTGCTSCTGGGCAGGCAGATTAACTGGAAGTTTCACTGCATCTAAATGGGTTTGATTCAAGTGATTCTTGTGCATGAGGATGTTCAACATCCTCAAAAATTTCTGTTGGTTTGTGGGACTGAGGCAATATMTATTTCTTAATTAATTCTGAAAGCACTGCTTCTGCTTCTCTCCTTTCCTGAATAAGATGGAGGCAGACACCTCCTGATCTTCTTTAATTTGTTTAGTCTAAGAACAAGTCTGAAGACAATGTTAGCTTTCTAATTGGTGCAGTGCAGAGTTTGCAACAGGACAGATACTCCGACACTTCTGGGCTTTAGCCAGTTATAACAACAGAAATTATTTGATGAATACTGAAAACACTGCTTCTCTTATACTCTGAGCAGGTCTTCAGGGACAAGACTGTGCCAGTAGGACAGGCAACAGATATTTCAGATTTGCAATTAAATTCTATACTTCAGGAGAGCTGTGACCTCTGCAAGGACATCTTTCCATCAACCAGTGACTGGATTAACAAACCTTAGGTTTTCCAGCTGGCTATCCAGTTCTATTAACTGACCTATATATAGACAGCTATAACTTTACCACATCATTTTGCCTGTCAGTTCACAAAATTTATGGAGTTCTCTGAATTTGASAAAGATCAGGATACTCTAGTACAGAACAAATTCTTACACATGAAGATTCTGGGATAACTCCTGTCTCTGATGCCAGRGGACTTGTACTGTTGTCTTCTGGGACCAGCTCCCCTGTCTTGCATTGCATGCAATAGAAGAGGCCAGASAAGCCCAGATACTTTGTTTGCAGCTGAATTGCATGAAGAAGCACAAATTTTGGCTAACTATGCACTTTAAGAGAATCATTAAATTAGTAACCATTCAACCTCAGCATCACAAGTGTATTACAAATAGACCTGTATAATGCTGCYATTGGCAATTCAAAAAGCCTAAAGAGTCAGCTAATAAAGCTAAAAGAAGGTAGAAAACATAGGCATTTTCTAACCCCTGACACCTCAAGAAGAACAATTTCTTAGCAATCCCCCACTGACATCTCTATCTACTCTTCTGGCTTTGCTCAACACATTGTACTGACATGCAATCATGGAGCTGGGCACAGCAGCTGGCATTTTGGCTGCCTGCTCTGAAACATCTCCAAGTATAGAGCTCCACTTATTGTCTAGGGAGACTGCTTGATGAGGAAACATACATTTGTCACCACTATTTCCTTCTTGTCCTTTCCACTCTCATTTTGACACTTTTAATCTTAATAACTACTGCCACTTAACTTCTGTTGTTTGTGGCATTTGCAAAACTCTATACAAAACTTTAAAACTCACTGCAACAGCAACTGCCTCGTGACATTTAATGCAGGGAATAACTGCAGCAATACTGCAGAAAAGGACAACAACATCAACAAGTTCAATCTCACAGGAGCAGGGCTGCAACCTGTTAGGAAAGTTCCTGCTTTCAGGARTCTGAAACACTGGTATGAGACAATATCTTCTTTGTTAGCAATGCCTGAATGAGCAGCCTTATAATGCACTAAATTAGAATATTATGATTACAATGGAAGGCCAGCATGTTTTCACAAAGATATAGCAGAGAAAAAATAATTTTCTTACATTCTCGTGGAGCAGGAATTTTTGAAAGGGTTGCTCTACGCTTCTGTTTCTGAAAAACAAGGAATGCTGTAAGCAATTGCAGTAAGCAGCAAACATCTAGCACTGCTCTTCAGGGCAACACTGATACAACAAGAATTTCTGACCAAAGCCTAACTATGAGACAGAAAAGACAAATTAAAGAGCTCAAAATTTAAGACTAAGAGTATTATGTATAACAAGCCCTATGCTTYAGTACCTTAGAAGAAACTAAACCACTTTAAAGCACTTACCTGTGAAGTTACATTGTCTTGCAAAGGAACATTCTCTTTCACATCAGCAGCAGGTAGTTCTAATAATTCAGGATTTATTGCAATCACATCACCAATATCAACCTGCAAAAGCAAAGGCAGGATTTTACATAGCAAAATACTGCTGCTACCACTTAGGGATTGTTTTTTTTCTAATCTGGACTCTCAGTGAAGGCAAACAAACCTGATCCACTGCCTGCCAAATGTTATATTAAAAGTGCTCGGAAGAGCAAAACAATAACTCCTATTCCATTTGAATGGTTTGGCACACCTAAATACTAGACAAAATGTGTTAGTTAAGCCATTTACCCTCATCTGCCAAACACCACACAGCTCTGCAGGTGCCATAGAGCACTTCTGAAGAGAAGGGCAAAGCCCATTTGGCATCCACTGCTMTAATCTCCCACTGCTAATCTTAGTAAATCTCAGCAGCTCTGTGACTTCTGTGCTAGGAGAGCATTAAGTGTTTACTGTGTGATTGTGCTTACCGAAATAAACGTCAAAGAGCTGCTTAGACTCTGGGAAATGAAGGATTCAGCATTTAATCCATAACTTAATTCACCTGCATCTTTGCTTGCTATTGCAAACTATTTCACCTGGAGCCAGCTATCTCTTCCTGACTGACCCTCCYGTGAAAACACAATCCTGCCTTCACCATATCATGGGGCACCCTGGCAAAGGCAGGAATGGGGCAGGCTCAAGTACAAATTCAGCAACTCAGTCTCTATTCTGTTTTTCAAAACTATCCCTGCTGAAGAGATTRAAAGCACCTGGACACAAAAATTTCCCCATCACAGCAGCTTGYAGCTGGAATTCACCTAACAAGGCAGCACAAGCACCACCAGGAAGTTCTTGAGTTTTCAATTAACTTTGGAATTATATAAATAAGAGTCCATGAAAAGAGAAGAAAGCAAGTAGGTGAACCTCTCTAAAATGTGAAAATACTACTTTCTACTATAAGAGAACTAATCTGTGAAGTSTAATTCATATGGAATTGGTTAGCASCTAATTGGAAAGTGAATTAGCTCAGAAACAGGTATGTGGACAATATAAATGTGTGTAAGCACATACAGATTACATGGACATAAGCACAAAAGAAAATTGCTGGATTTTGAARTATCTTAATAAAGACTTAATATCTTAACACATACATGCAATTTAGCCAGAATTATATCTGAATCTGGATTTTATCTTTTTTTTTAATTATTATTATTTTAATTTGAATGCAGCAGACACATGCAGAGTTAGAAGTTTCAAACAACCAGCCAGTGGCAACTTTTAAGATTTTTGCTGAAATCCAGTCTACACCTTTCTGGAGACACCAGAAGGACAAGTACATTAGCTCAGTGACAGTCTTTTTCAAGTGTCAGGATTTCAGCCACATCAGCCTCAAATGCCCCAGACTCCSCTTCTCCCATCCAGTCTCACACTGTATTTATTTTATATTGGTGCAGACATTATTGGAACCAGGTGGTGTCAGCACCTTATTAATAATAAATTTTAAGGAAAGCCTGAAAGCCATAGCAAAACTCTTGGAAAACCAACAAATAGCCCACAGAACTGGAAAACTAGAATCCTGTGACATTCAGCATCAGCAGTCAACAATGTGAGAGGCCCAACACCTCCTCGATCCCTCTGAAAGGCAAAGGCTGTAGCTTTGGCACTGCACCTCTCGTACCTTACCTTGGCACACCTGGGGCATTGCTTTCATTACGTGTGAAACARGAACACAGACCCAGCTGCAGCAGCACAAGACAAGCGCTGCCCATCCGGCGGGGCAGAGGAACTGGGCCACACTCCAGGCGAGTCTCGGGCTTCCCAGGGCACATCCCGCCGGGCCCGGGAGTGTTGGAGCACCCCGGGAAGGAAGGGGCCGCGGGCAGCTATCACTCACCTCCTTGCCCTTGGTGGCGCCGCTCTCACACCACTCCACAGTCACGCAGGACTGCTCCACGTTCACAACCTTCACCGTTGCCTTATGGATTAAGCCTGGAAAAAGCCGACRTTAAGACCCAGCCTGGCCGCCCCAAGCCGGCGTGACCCCCGCGGGCCGTGGCGGCTGGGAACGTCCAGACTCCCCATTCCCTTCTCCTCACCGTTGCTTCTTTGGATATTAATAATGACGCCGGGATACACATTGCGGTAGAGGTGGGAGTCCATGGCACGGGCACAGRGACAGGAACCACGTCCCACCCCACCAGCGAAACACTCGCCCGGCAACCGCCGCCGGTTTAAACCCCGCGCGCCGGCGTGCCGCGGGGGCTGCCGGGAGTCGCTGCGGGACTACATATCCCGGCAGGCCCCACCCCTCAGCAATGCCGGGTCTGTAGGCGGCGGGGCGCGGGGCATGCCGGGAGATGTAGTCCCGAGGGGCGGGGAGCACTGCTGCTCCTGGGGGAGGGAGGTCTGAGGGGATCGGTGCTGCTGCGTGAGGCCGACTTGGGGCGGGCGGAGGCGCCGTGCCCGGAAAGGGCCGCGGGACACCCCAGCTACGGCCGGACAGAACAACCTCGAGGCCGGGGGGACACTGAGGAGGGGCGACAGGCCGTGGAGAGACTGGTAATAAGCGGGGTGGCTAA